CAAGAGCGACAAACACAAACAATAAATCAGAATTTATTGCAACAACAACATCATCAAATGCAACAACAAAATTTGGCAATGCAATCACAACAATCGCCACTTGCGAATCCCGCCGGTGGTGGTAGCATAATTGCCAGTAGATCAAACGTTAATGAAACACCACCTGCATGTAATCAAAACGAAGAGGTAATTATTAAAAAGCTCGCTACCTTACATATACACCTACTCTTCCATCCACGCGCATCACATACACGCTCTACACATAATGCGAAAATTGAACTGACATTCGACATTCGTTTGCAGGCACTCAGCACATAAGGAGCCGAATTATGCGTGTACTTTATCGGTTTTACTATTAATCATTGGTATTATTTACATGCATCCATCCCTCCGTCTGTCTTTTTGTTTGCCTGTCTGTTATCATTTTTTATATAAGGATTCATTTTTATTCAAACCATATAATTATGGATCACCTATCATCTCCCTTTCCAAGGCTCCTTCTTTCCCAGACATAAACAGAAATGAAGAGACAATGAAAAAATTAGAAAGAGAAAGAAGTATTAATGCTTGGATTAAGTTTTTTATATGCATATTTTTGATATTCGTTTTTTTTTTTTTTTTTTTTTTTCTTTTTTCAGTCACTCGATCAAACTTCCAAAATATTAGCTGTTCCAACGCAACCTATACCGGGCTATAATGAAACATTTCTATTATGTACTTTGGTCGATAACACCTATAAACCTATCGATAATGTGCCTCTTTACTTGGATCATGACCTCAATCAATTAGTTCCCGTGCCATTGGAACTATTAAAAGAGGAACCGCGACTCATTGTCAATCATCCCATACCGAGCGATCCACCGCCACAGCAGACTTCAATGCAAAGAACTGAGGTTCTCGATAGTAATGAACTAAGCACGCAAACGCTAAGCAATTTGCATTCAGCGACGGGCAATATTATAGAAGAGACGCCAGCTTCTTCGTCAGTTGGGGAATCAATGATTGTTTTGCCCCAACAACTGATAGAAGAAACAATTGTCGAAACTAATAATATTGCAACTGATCAGATGACCATTTTTGAGCCAAATGAAGAAAGCAATACAGAGCTGGTGCCTAACAATGCACTTATTTTAAATATTGAAGGTCAACAGTTTGTATTAGATGCAGCTATTTTTGCTCATCTGCTGGCGAATCCAGACGCTAACACCCAATTAATAACTGATGAGGGAACGGAACTTATGCTAACACGCGAAGTTTTGGCAGCGCTACAAATGCAACATGAGACTCAGACAGCTGTAGAGATGTCAGCTGTCGCCCAACAGCAACAAATGACAGTCGATGCTAGTTCGAACGATATACTGGCAGTGGCATTGGCAGGCTCGGAGTTATATGGCAGTGATGTCTTGGAAATTGATACCTCACAGGACTTACAATTGATTGGCAGTGACGGTTGTATAGTTTTTCAACCGACCAACTCAACTCTTAGTCAATCGCACTTAACACCACAAGTTAGTGAGACGAATGCTTTATTGGATCATCAACCTATAATGTCTACTTTAGAATCACCTTCTTCAGTGAAATCTGGCAAAAGTAAAACCTCACAATTAACGGCAGGCGGTCTTACATCTCTCTTATCGACATCCCTATCGGCAAATCATACGCGCCCCAATCTGGAGGATAGTCTAGCAGCCATTGGTGTAACAACGCAATCATCTACAGTCCCATCATCGCTGGATTTGCCTATAACGGTAACCAATCCTAATATAGCACCAAAGGTAAATTTATCAGCAGCTCACACAGATATGATGCAATTTGCACTACCGCGTTCGGTTTCAGCGGCTGCAACGGCCGCAGCTGTTGCAGCAGCCGCGCTGGCTGGCGAGACGCGTCTTTTCAGTGATTTTAATAGTTAATATTTGCCTTAGATACTAATGATGGATAATTCCGTTTTCTTCCAAGACCCCGCCGCCATAGTCGACTTAAGCAACATGGACTTGGTGAACATTTTGCAACCACCCACTTACTGAAGTTTCAAGCCTGGTTGTACAAATAACAGTACACATAAACGATTTCACAGTAAATCGTTATTGAATTGTGTGAATGTGTGGGGGGGGAAAATTTTTTATCCCTAAATACACAAACACACAACGGAAATTTTGGTTTAGATTTTAGCGTTAGTTACTGAATAAATAATTATATGGTAAATATGAACTTTTTTACCTTAAGGATGTACATACATATATAATGTAATTATATATGATGATTCTATCTCTAACACACACAGTTTTTCTTTAGATCTAATTACGTTAATCGTTAACTTTTTTACCCGGTGTTGAAGGCCGGCATAATTTTTAATATTTTATGTTCTTATATATATATATATACATGTATATATATATATATGTATGTATATATATATATATTTTTTTTTTGCCTTTTTTTTATGAGAGAACAACTTTAAAACATATTTTTTGAATTGAGAAATTTTTGAAGCAGAAGTAGAGTGCATATCCATATTAAATGAATCGGGTGGAAACCTGCATATAGAGCCGTTAACGCGTGACGTGTCTGCTGAGTTCAGAGTCAATAAAATGAAAATTGTTGGACTTTGAATATTCGATATCGCGAGCATGGAAACCAGTTCTGGTCTGCGTGATGTGAAAAATTTCTTTTTAATCGTTTATTACTTTTTTTTTTTTTTTTTTTTTTTACTTTTACTCAATTTTCTATCATTTGAATGCCTTACTATTACAAATTTATTACAATTTATTTTTTTTTTTTCCCCCTTTATTTTTAACCCTTTTAATAATTACTTTCAAATAGATAATTAATTAATTAATTAATTAAAAATACATTAACAAAATTAAACTAATAGTGTTGCATACTCTATATATGCAAATGTTATCTATAAGAAAATAAAATTATTTAATATTTTGTATATGTACAGATATTCTATATACTATAATATATAAAAAACTATACGATACTTTAAACGATGAGCAATAACATGAAAAGAATCGTTTTTTCCCTTTTTGAGGAAAAAAAAAGAAAAAAAAAAAAAATTCAATTTATGATCGGCATGGTTTTTTGTATTTGTAGCACATTCATATTCTATTCATGCTGCTGCACTTAAACTCTTAACCTCACATCTTGTCTAAATTCTTCTCAATCGCTTAGATGTGTGTCACAAGTTAAGGTTTAGTATATATAGTATTATCCACTTTGGTGAATTTGGTTTTTATTTATTTATTTATTTTTATTATTATTTTTTTTCTTCATCAAAATCATTTGAACATTTGTGATTGTACGTTGTGACCGTACAACGTTCAGTAACAATTCAGGCAATTGATTTATTGTCACTCTTAAAATCATTGCTTTTTGATATAGCGCGCACTTATCAGCAGATCCGGGTTAACGGGTTTTCTCAACGATGGTGTTATTTATAGTATTTGTCAAAATTTTAATCGCATTACATACGAATACAAGTTATCGCAGTGGAATCTTGTACACATTACAGTTTCTAGGAGATTTGGATAAGTCCAGGCAAGACTTGTACCTCGAAAAAAAAAAAAAAACCAAACGAAAGAAACCTTCATGCCAGACAGATTCGAAAGGAAAATGTTGCTGAATCGTAACGAGTAATAAAACGGGAGAGGACGCGAAATTCGACTGCCCGAAGAATCATAGTGTGCGGATCCAAAGGAACCATTAACATAACATCGATTATCCCCTACTCCAATTTAACGAAACACATCATTGGGCAACACGATCACCAAGCGATAACTTGACGGAAAAACTGCCGCAATACATGAAAACACATTCCGTTGCGACATTCATTTTTTATGCAACGTTAACAATATTCATATTGAATGTACACTACAATTTCCGCTGCATTCGAATGGTATTTATAATTTTTGTTTTAAGCGGTCACTTAAAGCCTGTCTGCGCAGTACTTTTCTTTTTTTGGCAACGATATACCAAAAATTATCTTGTTTACATATTGATTGATTGATATATCCTGAAACGAGTAGCAATGATGCCTTCGAATTTGGAATTTATATCGTGTGAGAAAGGTGGAAAAAATGTGTATCTAACGACAAGGACAATATTTTAAATAAAATATTTTTGTTTTTATATCATTCTCCTGAAATAAATGTTGTTATTGTTGTTGTTTTTTTTTTCATAAAGGAATCGACCAGGAATTATTTTAGCATCTAGTATATTAGGTTCTGAAGTCAAGGTCGTGAAGCCGACCACTAACTGGTTAGTATTAGCTTAGGCGATTTCAAAATTGCTATACCTTCTTAGCATTGGAATCCGTTCATTATTCTCAAAATTATTCACGTGTGAGGTGTAAAATCTTCTATTAATTTAATATTTTACTATCATAACTATTTCATGCTATTTGATTGGATACTATAATATCCACCATATTACTGCACTACAACGGCTTATGATGACGTATAATGGGAAAGGGAGAGTTTTTTCATGTCTCTATCAAAAACGCGAAATATATATAAAGGGAAGGTCGATAATAAATTACATTCAGATTACATTATGAATTAGGCATATGTTTTTTCGTTGCTGGACAAACACGATTGTCGTCAGCGAGCTGCATAATGAACATAAATATAAATAAGACAATGTAAGTATTAAAATAAAAAATGAAAGTAACTGTCTAGTCCATGGAGAGTGGTGCTCGATAGTTACGGAAACGAAACTTTCACCTTAAACTTTCTCTTAACGATTAACTCTCAATACGAATTGTATCAATGATAAAGTACAACAAAATTAAAAGTTGCTCTTTCTGTTGTCGTTGTCGTTGTTGCGGCAAGAGGTGAGGAAGTATATGGCCACATTCTTTCTTTTACTTGTTTTGCCTTCTTTTGAAGTAAACGGTCGTGGGTATAAAAAATTCGCTCCCGACCGACTCTATTTCATTTTCTTACTTGATTTGTTCAATTACTATCATGAACAAAAGATTAACGATTAGGCTTTTTTGTCATATAAGGGTTCATGTTTCATCAGTCTTTTTACATGCAATGTTATGCAAAAAATTTACATATGTGGTCGAAATTCGATAGGCAGACCGATTTCTTTGTCAATTTACTATTATATGAACTAATTTTCGCCAAGAAATATTGAAAATTCGATCTTTGTACCATGTAAAGCTCCCCTCTCCGTTTCCAGAAAAAGGTTATATAAGAGGCGTTCAAAAAATGTAGAATGCCGAAACACCCTAACTCAGCCATTTTTATCGTCAAATTTTGAAAATTGCAATTCATTTTTATTTAACGACTTTTCAAAATGGGTCGTCGAATGGGGAGTGGTCGAGAAAGTCGACCAATCCGAATCATTTTCAATAGCATTTGTCGTTGGGCCCAAGTACGTCTCTATGTCAAATTTCATCAAAATATCTCAAACATTGCGGCCTGCAGCTTGAACGCAAAAACATATAGACATATCGCAGACGGGCAGACAGGCTTAGATCGATTTAGAAAATAATTTTGAATCGATCGGTACAATAAACAATGGATCCATTTTAAACCCCTTTTGGGCGTTACATACGTCTGGACTAACTTGATGTACCGCAAGAGGTGGTGGGTGAAAAAATGTCGGGTAATTGCACCCGACACCACCTGTGTTAATTTGTTACGGTTGTATGTAATAGGCAGAAGGTCTTAAGATAGACCCACCTTTTATTATAGTGATCGATCCAGAATCATACTCTGAATTGATCTAAGCCTGTCTGTCTGTTTGTCCGATTATTGTTTGTCCATGAAAATATTGCATTCAAGCTGCAGCTCGCAATTTTTGGCCAAGGACGAACGCTATTGGGTTTTGACCCAAGGACGAACGCTATTAAAAATGGTTCGGATCGGTCCACTTTTTTGAACACTCCCCAATAAACGCCCAATTCTGAAAAATAGTTTAATGAAAAAAAATTGCAATTAGTAAGTAGTATTTTCTTTGGCTCGGGTGGGGCAATTTTTGAACACCCTCATTTAACGAAAATTAAAGTTCACACGACAAGATGGTATAATTTTCAATGTTTCATGACCCAAAATTATATCATAATAGTAATTTAAAATAAAAAATTAAATATACCAAATATGAACCTTCTCGGTCAATTTTTTAGATCCTAGCCTAGAGGTTATGTCACTTGATAAACAAGAAAGAGTTTTAGAATGAAACAATTTTACGGAATCAAACTAAAATTAATGTTTTAATCCTTTTTTTTTTTTTTTTTAATGTATTCATCAAATATAATATAAATAATAAAAACAAAAAAAAAAGAAATACGAGAGCAAAACTACTTGAGTTTAGAGCAAATGGCTTTTGTAAAGTCTGAACAATTCGATTTACCGCCCAAATCTTTTGTTCGCACTTTACCTTCTTTAATTACAACATGAACTGCTTTAGTTATTTTCTCAGCGAATTCTTTAAGATTCATATGCTCCAGCATCATAACAGCGGATAATAATAGAGCCGTAGGATTTGCAAGATTTTCACCAGCTATGTCCATAGCGGTGCCATGCAGCTAAAATTATAAAATAATTAATCGTTTCTAGTTAACGGTCGCAAAGAGAGAGTGAATGGACTTGACGTACAGCTTCAAAAATTGCTACCTCATTGCCTATATTTCCAGAGGCTGTTAAACCTAATCCGCCAATTAAACCCGAGCACATATCCGAAAGAACATCACCATAAAAGTTAGGCATAACCTACAAAAAAGAGAAAATACGTACTCAAATCAATTTTCACAAAGCGAAAGATAATTCATTAGTTAAGGACATTATAGTCGGCGAAGGCCGACCATTCGATATTTTACATCAAATCGCCAAATACATTTACTCGTTCGTTCGTTGCGGTGATACTACACAAAAAATTAGACATTATTTTAATACGAAAGCATACTTTCCATGAAAGCCAGAGGCAAGAGGAGGAGGATTCCCAAATTATGGCATAGTGTGATCCAAATTCAGTAAACTTAATTTTCTTTTTAAAAATTTTGTTTTATTCTTCAGTTCCCGTCATAGAAAACTATAAATTAGACTTAATGTCCTTTTACAAGCTTCGCATGCTTTGAATGATAACTCCTATATATGTTGAGGTCTAGAAAATAGATCTATGCAGCGCAAATTTTATATCGTCAATCTTTTTTGGTAAATTGCTGCCTAACTTTTTCTGAACTGCTTGGTATTCATGAGAAATCTTATATGACATAGGGGGTCCAACAAATCGATCCATGTGTCTCAAATTGGTCCATTTAATTATACGCTACACAACTTGTGGTATAGTTAGTGCTGACATATGTAACACGCAGAAGAGCTTAAGAAAGTCCAACCCATCCGTCTATCCATGTAACTGTGTGTTCAGACTATAGATCGCAATTTTTGAGATATTTTAATGAAACAGATCGGTCCATTTATTTGACCACTCCCTTTACAACGTCTTATTCTCGAAAGTTGTTATACGGAAAAATTTCAGAATTTTGTCGGCAAAAGCGTCCAAGTATTCGAAATTGTTACGCAAGCTTTGGAAAGGCTGGGACAATCTTTGAACTCCCTCTCATATAAAGAAAACTGAAGTTCGAACGACAACAACGTATAATTTTCAATGCTTCGTCATGGAAATCAGATCATAATAGCAATTTAGCATCAAAAAATTATCTGTACCAAATATGAACCATATCGATCTATTTTTTGGATCCTGTACTAATGAGGATTTTCACAAAAATTGATTCTTCGCAGAGCAGAAAAGTCTAAATTTTAATATGTGGGGATGAAAATTGACCCATAAGAGTGATTTTATACAAAAATGAACTCTACAAAAATTGGACCATCTACGCCTACTTTTCGAGTCGGCCCTATGTGAGGATTAAATTTATGCTGCACTAAGTTGGGTTTTTTGTCCCGCTTTCCCATAAATACACACATACAAATGTATAATAAAATTAACGATTATTTCAGACTATGTGGTGTAGGATATTTAATGGTCGGCCTTAACACACTATAATGTTTTTAATTGTTGTTTTTTTGGTACTATATGCATTTAAAGGATATCGTTAATGAGTGCCAATGGGTGTCGTATGCCAAAGTTATTTGTATTGAATTATCGAGATGAAATATCGAGAGAAGCTCTTTGTCTCAGTGTAGCCTTAGTCAGCTCTGATTGAGCTAAGTACTCAACTATTTCTCGTATATATGGTTCTTGATCAGGGAGAATGGGAGAGTGCAATTAGATGTGTATTTTTATTAAACTGTCTTGTCGATCTCTTTAATAAATAATCAGCTGAATCAGATAAGCCCCCCTTTCTCACTCATTTCATAAAAATTCATGAATTACTTGCGATCTTGCTTCGAAATACGATATATATATATATTTATATATATATATGTATATAGTTTGTAAGTACCGCATAATTATTATATTGTATAAACCGGGGGAGTAGGCAAGTATTAAAAAGTTCACTTTAAGGAGAATACAACATCACTTCACGTCTTATGTCCAATAAGCCGAAGATCTCTTATTGATCTAAGCAAACTTTAGAAGAAAATCTCATTCAACAGAGATCTAAACACTAAACCGTGTTCCAGTGGAGTCGTTCTGGTTTACAAAAATGTGCTTGGTCTCAATAGCAGGCTAAGGAGGACATTTCTTGACCTAATGGAATACGGTTACAATATTTTCGCTCTTCCTGACACGTGACTCAAGCCTGATGTCAAAAAGTTTTTTCTACAGACTTTCAAGCGTTTACGCATAACAAACTTCACAGAAATGGAGGTACAGTACTTATTCCGGTTCTTCATGCGGTATCAAAGCCATAAAATTGCAATATTAAGCTAAAATTTGAGACAAAATTTGTAGAAAAATTACATATAAATGCGATCTACCGCCTTTTTTTCCGATCCTTCCACAATTTATTCATTCATATGAAAGTGATTACAAACAAATATTTCCTACGATTCCTACGATTCCTACGATTTGAAAATGTTCAGTAGAAATGTTTCGCTTAATCTATCGATGCGACTCTCAGCCAATAATAAAAAAAATATATATATTTTTCAAATTTCTTGCATCCGTTTATGAATAAAGGGGCTATTAAATCAAAATCTCGTTGTACGCTTTTTATGTGGTCTTCGTTACCCACATTGTTACATTATATATCGAATTGACTTTAGATAGATTCAATAGATAGAAGATTTCCTAAATAGATTGGATAAGATTTCTTACCAGAACATCATATTTTATAGGATTTTGTACAATGTTCACGCAAACAGTATCGAGGAATCGTTCTTCGAATTCTATATCCGGATAGTTTTTGGCTACTTCTTTGGCGCTCTCCAAAAATAAACCGTCCGACATGCGCCTATACAAAATAAGAAAAGCAACGAAGAAGAATTTCGATTTTGAATTTCGATTTAGACGACATATATATAAATATTGTCGTGTCGCTTACATTATATTGGCTTTATGAACTGCGGTCACCTTCTTGCGTTTACACTTTTTCGCATACTCGAAAGCGTACTTAGCCACACGCATTGAAGCATCTTTGGTAATCAATTTAATACTTTGCATGACACCGTCAACAATCTCGTGTTCGATACCGGTGTATTCGCCTTCAGAGTTCTCGCGTACTGTAATTATGTCGACCTCTTTATATAGGGTGGGGCAACCTTCAATGTTCTTGCACGGTCTAATGTTCACATACAAATTAAACTCTTTATGGAGCATATTGTTCCACGATGGACAACCTTTGCCGGCCGAGGGTCTAAGCGGCCCCATTAGGCCGACTTTATTTTTCTTAAACGATTCCGTCACTTCTTTGGGAAGAACCATTTTACCTTGCTCGTCTTTTACCGCCTCAACACAAACTGTTTCCCATTCTATAGGAGCTTTTGCTGCCGCGAAAACTTTCACTACCGCTTTTGTTATTTCTGGTCCTATGCCGTGACCCTCCACTAAGGTAACTTTGATCTTTGGAGTTTTCGATTTTCCCATTTTAAACATTGCCAAAGGTCTTGCTAACGTCAAATTCCGCGAAACAATTACAAAGTTTGCAAATTTATTCCCACGACTGGCAAAGTGTCCGAAAACTCTCTTCTCGAACAATATCTTCAACATTCTTTCGTATATGAAAAAATCAAACAATTTTCTCGCAAAAAAAAAAAACAAATATATGAACAGATTTCAATTTAAGTATTGATAATATTTTCAGTCGGGATATGAAAAAGACCATGACATATACAAAATTAATTTTTTTATTTGAAATTGACATTTGTAATGTCAATGAAATTTTCTTCAAATATTGAAATTGATGAAGAGATTTGTCATGATCCGAATCATCATATAACGCATAATTTATATTCGAATACCTTGGATTCTTTAAAGGTATTGATGGACGTTTCGATCAGAAGCCCAAAGCCGTGATACGTGAAGATAATAAATAAGTCAGCTCGACGTAGAAGAGTCTAAATATACCATTCAATGTTTCCTATAAAACCTGTTAAGTGCCGGTTCTTTCCAACCTAACTTGAGCTGCTATGTGTCAGGGTTTATAAGGTATTATTTTTGCCGATTCTCACAGTTTTAATTATTAAAGCGATTGGATAAATTTTGCCGATGACTTAATACTAGTGGTCTTATCCAGCATGTTTCAAAGATGACGATCAATAGGCAAATTTCTAATTCATTCGTGATTAATTGAGTTTTAAAAACGAGTCGAAATTCTAAAAAGATTCCTTATAATATCATATCAATGAATCGCTCGTTTCCGGTTTGAAAATTTTAACGTTCAAGATGCCCCGGTTTTTCATTGCTTAATTATTGAGAAACTCGAATAAAATTCTTCAAAACTTAAAAGAAAAAGGCCAGAATTATATAACACAGTTTTCAAGGATTCCCGTAATGATGGATAAAAGTAAATAATTCGATATTTCGCTATTATATGAATCAAGATCGTCATCGACGAATCGCTGGTGAAACGAAACGAAATCAAGCCATTTCTGAAGATATCGATTGTCATGAAAAGTTGTCCGTATACGACAGTTAAGTACGAAAAAATTCATCGTCCAAGATGGATATAAAGCATGTTTCATAAGCTAGTCTAACTTGGTTTGATGATGATTGCATCCACTTTTTTTAATGTCAACAGATCAAGTGATTAAAGTGCAAAATTGCAGTAAAGCGGGCAAAATTTTGTTCAATAGAAAAGGCGTTGTGCTCATCACAATAACCATGCAGGCCATGCAGACCTGATTGGATGAATCGTGGATGCATTCCGCTATATGGACCCCGATAGCATTTGTTTTGATAAGTGATGAGTGACTCATAAGAAAACAAATGTATTCCCTTAGTTTTGCGATCAGAAATCTCAAAAGTTTTAGAAGAAGCGATAGTTGTACCCATAAAATAGCCAATGTTTTCCTTATCCAATAATAAAGAAGTAGAAACGCTATAGTGGAACACTGTCCACCATTAAATACCCTAAGCCGAGTCGCTTAATGCAGTTAGGCAGATAGCAACCTTTCAATATACAGCGGTTTGAACCCAACCATTTCGAGTAGCGTTCGTCGTTAGGCCATCAGTGCATCAAATTCCCAGCAATATATCTGCAAAATGATGACTTGTAAATTGAATACCCGATAACAAGACGGACGGACAATCTTAAATCAATTAATAATCTTCAAGTCCTTTTGTTTGTGTTACAAACATTTATAAGCAATTTTAATATACCCTTAATATACCGTAAATTGATAAAACAAACACTTTCGATTTATAAAATTATCAATTTATTAATTTAATGATAAGAAGAAGAAGAAGAAGAAGTAGTAGTAGTAGTAGTCAAAATACTATTGATCTATTCTCGTAACTAAAGGCTCGAATCCTATTCGAAAGAATAAATTTGCCTCGAAGAACTCGGGCATATCCTCATCGTCGATCCGTACTAGGGATATGTTTACACAATTCGGATCCTAAAAGTTGACAAATTTATTGCTATTATTATGTAATGAATTATGAATATATGAATTATAATAATAAAAATGCCACCACTCACCATATGCAAAAAGGCATTCTTTCCGTTGACATCGGCAACGGTGCATCGGATTTGTAATGGATGATTGGCGATTCTTGTAGATTGCAAAATAGCGTTTAAATTATGAAAGAATCCTTCACTGATATCGGTCGCAATGATATGCAAAAATTGCAATTGTTTATTGCATTTAATTAATTGCAAAAGCCTACTCTCCCATTCAAGATCGTGCGTGGACGCGTAATTCCATGCATATTTCGGCAAATTTGCCAATTTAAGAAATTTCAAATTATGCAATTTCTGTAAAAGCGATAAATCGACATTACCGGCAAATGTGTGAATATGCGTTCTAAGTATTGTAACCATAACCGCTAGCGATCTTATATTTTCGACCGATGAATAACATACAATTAATCGTAAATTGGGCATTCGTATCAGATCGTCGACAATCAAAAAAATATCCATCGTACTATAAATGTGTAGCTCTTCTAATTGTTCGCATGAACATATGCAATTCACATCGAATTTATGATCGTAAGGACTTAATTGTTTTCGAATATATTCGAAATTTTCTCGTTCACCTAAGCTACCCAAATTTAGATGTGTTAAATATTGGAAGAGAGTTAAATTGACGGCCCATATTGTGGGTATGAATAGGCGTAATTTTTTCAAATTGATAAATGATTGCAGAGGCCATTGTTTTTGTTTACCCAAATCGAATAGATCCAAACAGTGTACATTTGGAAAATTTAAATTCGCAACAAAATTCGTAACAATTGAATTCCAATAAGTGAATTGAAATTCACTTATGTGATCGCTAATAATTGTTAAATAATTTTTGAAATCCTGCGGCATTTTTATAATATATTCGTTAACGGATTTCTTATTAATTTCGATACGTTTCGTTTTTCTCCATACTTGTTCGATTATGCTATCAAAGAGCGGACACACTTTTCTACTCTCGTATTGACTAATAATATCAAGATTTTCAAATATCTTCATTAAGCAATGCTCAGGTAACTGACATATACTGATATCGTTTGTGACGTATTCGCACTGATCCATTTTCCAATCAATTTTTTTTATTTTTTTTATAATATTTAGCAGCACTTATATACACTTATATATACGATCGATCACAAATTATTGTCTCAACAAATCGACGACTAACCGACAAATATGTGCATTCACTAGTCTTTATATACGAAATTTTGTGTCTCTTCTTGATTTTCATACCTGTATGAAGCTGCAAGCTGGGCCAACAATTTTAATGCGGGTTATTTGAAGGATTTTTAAATGAATGAATGCAACTTTATTTTCATTTTAATATTTATGACCCTATTATATGTTTTCGGAAATTAAACGCACGAAATAAACTCACATTTACCTGGCGAATGATAAAATCCATCCCTTTTAAATGAAAGTTCACACTATAAAGATTACGCGGTCTTTTGTTAAAATACCAAATATGTTTTACAGGTTAATCTCAAATGTAATATAATTGTTTCTTTTATACCCATCACTGTAAGATGGCAGTATACTCATTTTGGTTTTTCCCCTTAATGCATGTAACACCGAAAAAGGAAACTTCAGAGACCCTATAAAGTATGTATATATATATATATATATTTATATATATATATATATTCTTGAACTGCGTGAAATTTTGAATTGATTTTGCCATATGTCCGTCCGTTTGTGCGGCTGTCCGTCTGTGCTGTATGTGTTTTTCGCATTCTCCCGGTCGCATAAATGAAGATAGCGACTTCAACTATGATAGAAACACTGGAAATTTCTGCACGCAGATTGCTATTGAAAATGGGCCAAATTGATCAGAATGGAAGCGTGCAGTGTAGCGTAAACTGAGCGTGACTCAAATATTTTTAAATTTTTGCTCATTACTCGGAAATAATTGGAGCTAGAAACTTGAAATTTTCCATATTTACATTACGAAACAGTCTACTCTTTAGATCCGACACTAATCGGCCATGCCTACACAAATTTACGAGTAACCAAATTTTATTTTTTTCAAAAAATTTGTGCTTATTTAGCATAAGGCAAACAAGATCGAATGTTTAAAACTACTTTAAACACTCCGAACAAATCCAGCTATATTATCTGCGTAAAAATGGGTTAATTTTAAAATGATTATGATAGACCCTGCAATCACTTTCTTCTTAATAATACTAGCGACTAGGGGTATCAAGTAAAAGAACTTGGAGAATAGAATGCGAAAAACATAGTGGTGGATAGGCGAGATTCGGCCTCCGCCCAATTTCTTTCTTATTTGTTTTTTTCCTTTATTGTGTTCATAGAAAAAATCCCAAAAAAAAAAAAATAAGTCCTCTATGTCCAAAAAGTAAGACCAATATTTAAATTGAATCGCGCAGAGATATTTCTCCTCTAAATTGATGGCACTGTGACAGACATGTATGTGCATCTAATTTCACATCACAAATGCTGGGACCTATGGTGCATGAAACCAAAATGAATTTTTATTCTAATTTTTTGTGCGTAAACGCTTAGGATATTGCAGAGGGACCGATGAAAGTCACGTCAAACCAATCAGAGATTCGATGTTGAAATACTATTACTTAGCGACTTTTGAAAATTACAATTTTACGATACGAATCATTTTCAATATCATTCGTTATCATTGGGTCAAAAAACACGTCACTATATCAAAATTGATCAAAATATCTCAAAAATTGCGATCTACAGATTAAGGGGAAATTTACATGGATAGAAGGATGGGCAGACGAACAGACAAGCTCATATCACTTCAAAAAATGATTTAGATTAAGTCGGAATTTAATAAAAGTTCGATTCACCTTAAACCATTCGTTCGGATGTTACGTATATTCCAACTAACTTAATATACCCTGCAGCAAACACGGTGTGGAGTATAATAAAAACTCACGTAACGTTATTATGCTTTAGGAAATTTCTTAAGTAACAAATATTCCACCTTACACACTTACGGGATAATCACGTATTTGAAAGTTAGTTTTCGTTAAGTTAGTATTCAGCCGTTTTTCTTCGAATAGGTGAACGCAAAGGCGAAAGTTACATTTTTCATATATGATTATACGTCAGGTGAATTTTAAATCATTGTTTTTATGTTCATTAACCTTAAGAAATGACGGAACGTATTCTTAACTATACTTTTCATCATTTATAGTAAATATATATATATATATATGCAAATTGGATCAATGCTTGCAATACAGCGAACGATTGAAGATCAACTTTTTGTATTATATCGATCGATTTCAAATTATTTTCAATCAATCAATTAATTTAAACCTCTCTGTACTTTGCATGTATTTTCAAGCTATTTCAAGATATGATATATATATCAAGGTATATATACATCGATAATCAAGCTAACCGCAAACTTTGTTAAAATTCAAACAAAGAACTTGGTCTTCTTCAACCAGAATTACGTTATATTAGGTGTTTGCGAAAATTTCGTTCATTGATTTTTACAGGTTAATAATATAAAAAAAAAAAAAAATGGGGAATACCGGATCAGAGAACAATTGAATTCAATCGTTTCAACCTTTCTCTACATAAAGTAATGATTTTCCATTCGAAAATATTGATTTATTCAGCCTAAGCCGATGTTAATTATGGAGCGTTCAAAATTCTTCTTCTTTCAAATTCATTACTTTTGTTGTTTATTTGAAAAAATCTGCTGCCCAAGCCCATCAAACACGTTCAGAGACTTATGCGTGATGCGGATCCATCGTACGTCAATTGTCGATTTTGCTTTCAACACTTTAAAAATATTCGAATGGAAAGCTCTGCTACATGCAACTCGTGGCCGCAAAGGTGAAGATGTGTGAAAATGGCTGCCGAAGCAATATAAGTTGTTCTTTCGACATGATATCGCCATGTTGTCATAAAATTTTGTTAAGTGTTGTAGAAAATGATGGAAACTATTTTGATTGATATATCCATATAAAGGTCTTATCAAATTAAATGTTTGCAAAAATTTTGATCACTTTTTCACTTAAAAACTGGTCTATATAAATATATATATATGTATATAACGTACGTCTAACATCTAATTTGATAAGACTTTTGACTTTTTTCATGTACATATTGATGCTCATATTGGGAAACTGGCTTACTTGAGAGAGATAATCACGTTAGCTCTCTCTTTCGCTCGAAAGTTAATTTTCGAGCACTTGATTACCTCTCAGTTAGAAGAAAAGAAATTGTCATTTTACATTTTAATTTCTAAATTGTTTTTTTTTTTTTGAATTTACCTTAAAATCAATCCATTTCAGTTCAATCTTATAACACTTTTTCATATACCACACAACCATAATAACCTAATAATAATAATAATAATATAAATAATAAAATTAGGGAAAAAATGTATTTGAAATAATTAAACAATTTGAAAAATTTCAATTGAATGGCAATACCGTTCTTACCATTCTTCGTTCATACCATTGTTTGTTACAAAATTACTTTTTGAATAAATCATTCTTTCTCACATTCTTTCTATTCTGTATTCCGTTAACTGCAATTTGTATGAAATAAAAAAAAATAAAAAAAATTAATTAAAAAATTTCGAGTCTTTTCGATTTTATCGGATATGACATAATTATTGCTATTTCCTCAATTCAAAGATGTATGTATCGGTCATCACATATAATAGTATCTGGGTGTTACGACCAGCGCATCTGTACATTCTAGCTATGGGATGAGTATACGTGGTCTTGACGTTCCAAAAAGCAAATTAATTACAATTTTTTTTTTTTTTTTTTTTTTTTTTTAGGTGTATAGATTATACATATATCGTATATATTATATGTATACTTATCGTATATTTTGGGCGATAAGACGCACCGAACACACTTCAAATTTATAAGACGATTTTATTATTATTATTATTATTATTTTAATTTTAGACTAATGAATTGAATTCTTAGACTAAAAAAAGAGACATTGAGCACTAGCAACACAGGCCATCGGCTCTAATTTAAATAAATGGATATTAGATAATAAGCTTAGTAGTATTAATAAAGTAAAATATTGAATTGATATTCTGTTCTGAAGTTGATTGTAGAATGTTCAAAGGGTTAATCGTTCCAAATGCAATACTTCTAGCCAAGGAAAAGTTGAGGCAGTCGCAGAGAATGTGCTTTATAGTAAGAGTTTGTCCACAACAGCAGATTGGGGGAGAAGACTTCTTCAGGAGCAATTGTATGACCAAGGCGAATTCTCGAAAATGTTTGGATCTTGGTTTTCTCAACATTTGTTGGATATAGAGGTGGAGTTAATTGAGGGTTAATGCAAGCGTAATGTTGATGATGGTATTGTAAATTTCCTTCTGCAATTTTCTCTTTAACTTTTCTTCCAATGTATCTTTGAAGATCCAACTTTTCCATGACATCATCCATAATTAGAGGAGCAGAAGCAGCATACGTTGCCGCTCGATCAGCCTGCTCATTTCCCAGTAAACCGATGTAACTTGGTACCCATAACATTTTAATTTTTCCGTCGGGTGTAGTAATTATATTCCTTAATTTGTTGATGGTGCTCCATCTCGAAGTCGAAGGGTTCCGGGTAGCTAGTAATACAGACAAACTGTCAGTAACAATGACGGTTTTGAGTTTGTTTTTATGGGCAAGGTTGGCAGCGTGAAAGATAGCTCTGGCTTCGGTTATGAAAGTTGAAGTGCTTTCGTGAAATATGTGGTTGAGAAGAACCCGTCCTGTAGCATCTACCACCGCACAAGCAGGAGGCAGACCAGGAGATTTTGAGCCGTAAGACGATTTTAGAAAAATGTATTTTAATGTTATTTTCGAATCAAAAGTTTCATTTATTCTTAACATAGGTCGTACTAGTAATATTCAGTTCATCTTTCACTCTCGGTACGCTCAGTCGTCTCACTCACAATGTCACCTTCCGTATTATTTTCACCTGAACTATTGTTGTCGTATCTCACATAGCTCAATATTGGAGACGATTTATTGGAAAACTATTTGAATTTTACCTTCGGACAATAAGACGTACAGAAAATTTGAGTCAAGTTTTCTATGTATAAGTGTTTGTCCAACTTAAAAATTCTCATAGAGGAATAATGCTGAACTTTAAGAAATTCATTTTTTCCTCTTTTCCCCCTAAAAATACATAACCGAGACTTGAAATTTAATTACTACGTATTATGTATATGCTGTCTCGGACATGCAATAAAAATGAGATCGAAAATCTCGCCATATAGTGAGAAGATGTAACAATTTAAGCACTTTAAAAAGAAAAAAAAAACTTTTTCTTTTATTTAAACATTTTTTTATTATTTTTGTAATTAATGCTTTTTCTCTTCATAATAATAATTTTTTTAATTTTTTTTGTTAACCTCTATTACCATTTCTCGTTCTCTCTCTCTCTCTCTCTGTGTGTGTGTGAGTGTGTGTGCATTTCTATATAATTTATGCTTTCTCCGTTTTCTATATGGCTTATTATTAATTATTTTACATAACATATGACTGGCTTTACTAAAGTTTAGGTGTTATTGGTTTTTTTTTTTCCTGACTTAAACACTTTTCTAGCGGTTACATTATGAGACAGCGATATATATTCGCGAAGAGGAAGGAAAATAATATAAATACATAAAATATATATATTACAATTTTTCGAATATTTTTAAAATACAAAATGAATGACTACAATATACGAAAAAAGAAAAATGGAAAAAAAAAATAGAAAAAGGACGAGCACAATAACGAATAAGTTAGCAGATCACAATTATTTAAACAAAAAAAAAAAACAAAAAAAACAAAAAAAACGAGATTTTTCACAGTGTTATATATATTATAAATGAAAATTAAAAACAAACAACGATTCGAACACAAAATACTATCGAGTTGAAGGGAACCATGAGAAGTGTTTTGTTAAAGCAAAGACCTCTCCGAAAGAAACTTTTGGCTTAAACAGTGTAACTTATAAATTGTTTTATAGCAAATAAAAGATTGTTGACCTTTACGAATGGGATTATTAGCAGTACAACGTTGGTGGAGGTGTTTTGGCTTATAGCTTCGCGCATATCTCGTTTGTATACTCCGAGCATTTCGCTTTGCCGCCTAAATCACCAGTTAAATGATTACCCTCTTTAATGACGTCAAAACAAGCTTTTTCAATTTTATCAGCATGAGTGTTGAGCTCCATATGTCTTAACATCATAACGGCTGAGAGTAACAGGGCAGTGGGATTGGCCAAATCTTTGCCAGCAATGTCAGGGGCAGTACCGTGGACCTTCAATGAAAATCATTCAATTAATTTATCGAATAATTTATTGATTATTGAGGCAAAACTTACAGATTCAAAAAGAGCACCATTTAGGCCCATATTACCGGAAGGTGTTAAACCTAAGCCACCTACTAAACCGGCACACATATCCGATAATATATCACCGTATAAATTGGGCATAACCTTCAAGAATGAAAAAGAATGAGAGAGAACAGTTTATATGAAATTAATTTACAATAATATTTCATAGAATTTCGTTTTACCAAGACATCATATTTTGAGGGATCCTGTACCATATTTAAGCATACAGTATCCAAATAGCGTTCCTCAAATTTAATTTCTGGATATTTTTCGGCCATTTCACGAACGCAACGTAAAAACAAACCATCTGACATACGCCTAAATTGCAATGACAATAAATCAATTAATGATTGTCGATTATAATTTGTTTACTTACATAATGTTAGCCTTGTGCACGACGGTAACCTTTTTTCTACCATTATTTTTGGCATATTGAAAAGCATAATCGGCGACTCTTTTAGAAGCTTCTTCCGTAATTAATTTAATACTCTGCACTACGCCGTCAACTATTTCATGTTCGATGCCAGAATATTCACCTTCGGTGTTTTCACGTATTGTTACGACATTAACATTATCGTAAAGAGTTTTGTAGCCCTCTAGGCTCCTGCAAGGTCTGACATTAGCATATAAATTGAATTCCTTACGTAGAGCCAAATTCAAGGAACGATGACCTTTGCCTACCGGAGTCATGAGTGGGCCTTTTAGACCAATTTTATTGGTATTTACCGAATTAATGGCAGCCTGAGGTATACCGAATTTACCGTCAGGACCCTAATTTTTTTTTTTTTTTAGAAGAATTATTAAACAATTTTGTTAAACATATCAAGTCATTGCTCTTACTCTAACTGGAGTTACATCAACCGATTCCCATTCGATGGGTACCTGAGCGGCGGTAAATATTTTTTGTACGGAAGCAGAAATTTCAGGGCCAATGCCATCACCTGGTATGAGAGTAACTTTGCGTGCACCTGATGAATAGGCCCGACCAGAAGCAGGCACCGTGTTAACCTAAAAATAAAAAGAAAAACACACGAATAAACTATTTAGCTATGTATAGGTGTGAATGTATATATATGAGAAAAAATAATTAACATTTCATTAAAAAAAAATGAGTAGATATAGGGATTAAGTGAAATAACAACTTTGCCTTAGATAAAATTTTAAAGCGTTATTAAATTTTCTTCAATTTATTTATATTCATATACAGATAAAGAAAGTATCTTTCATATTGCGAGTGTTGCGTCTTTATAAAACGATATGATCATGCCAGTACGCCAAATGAGATCACTTATTTCCCATTAAGCTAGACCTAGCGAATCAATTTTGTTCTTTCCTAACATAGATTGTTAAAATAATTAGAATAACCTAAAATTAGGAATTAATTATGCATTATTTACAAAATCGGCAATTTTGCATTCCTTTAAACGGTCCCTATTTCCGTTTGTAAAGGGTTAAGAATACTTGTTACGAGTACTCTAATAAATGTCTTTAAATAATAAAAATAATATATAGTGTTGTTCACTTAATTTCAAGTATCTTCATAATAAGTTATAACAAAATATATATATATATCTGTATATATATATATATATTGTACATAAACTTTCCATAACATGCTATTTCTTGAAGTACTTTCTGAAATACTTTAGGCGCTCTTTTCACGGAATTCACTTTATGTACCGGTGTTTAAGGGCACCGAGCACCGAAGAGTAATGATTGCGAGAAAGAATTTTCTTTGACTGACTTAAAATCAAGAATCTGGTTAGCAATGTCCATCTTTTAGTTGCTGCGTAGGGACGCAAAAATTGTACTAAAAAGTCGAAAGCACTTCAATAGATTCATTTTAAACGTGGACTTAATCTGCGCTCACATATGTACATTTCACAGCAGATGTTAACCCAAGATCGGTTGCAAATATCTATCTATATACCAGCAGTTCAATGACAAAGGCACTGAATAATTAACAAAATGTAATGCAAATTTGTGACGCGCAAATGCTGGCATATCCATAGTATCAAAATTTTATCACACGATTCACAAATAAGATCGATTCTCCGCAAAACCCATGGCAGTCAAAGTTAGATTCAATAAAGCTAAATATTGTTGAGGCCAAAAATATCTTAAAAAATGTAAAAATGGTGGCTGACATACAAAGTGATGTGAAATTTTTTAAAAAATTTAAATTAATTCTCTCAAAGACCGTGCATCTGCGTCGCATCATTAAAAAGGACCTAACGCAACACTATTATGCTAACATTTAAATCTGAGCGAAAATTTATGGAAGCAAAACAACAATTTTCATAAGTTCCTTTTTGAAAACTATATAAAAGCGGGATGGACAGAAAAAGTGTGGCGTAGATCAGGAATCAGCATTTTGTAGCAGATTTTAATTCATTAGTAACTAATAGTAGACAAATTGCTATGTACAATTCGACCACTTCCCGAACATTTTCCATTAAACACATGAAACTCTCTAAAGTTTTGCAAAAAAAAAAAAAAAGTTGATGGAAATGACAATTTATGGATTTTTAAATAAAAGTTGAATAAGAAGAAAAAAAATTCCAATAACATCAAAATAAATAAATAAATAAAACCTTGTACATATTGCAGGTTTTAATGCTTTGCTAATGCACGCTGTCGAGGCATTATATACAATTAAAATTAGAACAGAAATTTAAATTGATATAAAGCATTTATCATTATAATCATTCACTTGAAAATTACATAAGGTAGACGGACAAGTGCACAATTGAGCCTTATTATAAAATATGCACTTTTAATTAATTACTTGAAAAGCAAACATTAGATGCGAGAAATTCTCTCGAGGGTCGGTGCATAAGTGAGGTTAAGTTATTCAATTGTTTTGTAATAACTAGAAATATTTAATGGCATATTTTCCTAAACAACAAATGGTTTATTGAAATTACATTTTTTTTTTTTCATATATTTTAACAGCTATACAATGCCGAGAAAAAGAAAAGTAAATCTTCACCGTGCTAAATGCCGTGTTATGTAAAAATATTTGACAACAGTTACCGACAAAACATACAAATGCACTTGCAATATTGTTCTACTAAGCTTATAAATGATTGAAAATTATAATCTGTGCAAGAAAAGTTTTTCTTTTTTTTTTTTAAGGCTATACTTATAAATATCTTCGCCTTTTTTGCGGTCCGTTTTAATACATTAATTCAAAGACATTTTAAACAAAAACACTTAGCGATCAATTGTTTGACAAAAAAATTAACAAACACTTAGTACATCGATTATTGCCGGTTTATTCTTAAGACACAAATTATTATATATTGTTTTTAAGTAATAAGCTTACAATCTTTTGAATTAATCTGGCTGCCATTATATTTTTTTCTTTTTTGTAAATCTTCCCACTCTAATTTATGCAATTGTTTGCTTTACTGCTTTAATTCCGTACTCACAACACACCGTATTCCGTTTCGCCACTCAATGAAAAAGTAATCAGTATCAGCGAGTGCTGCCACTTGGAAATTGGAGACACATTTTTTGGGATTATGCATTCCGACGACTATAGATAAAACACATCTATCAAAAATGAAGTGTGCTTCGAACGTTTACAATGTCAAATCACTATATCTAAAGAAATTGAACAATAAATGAATAAATACTATCGTGCTTGGTTCAAGCTTTTACTTTATATAGTTGTATGTTGTGTAAATATATAAATAGTGCATAAAATAAAAACCATATATATACATTTCCCATTTATTTATATATGGTATGGATTTCTAGTAATTCTTGGCAAATTTATGCATTCTTATAGTTGATTTTTGGTGTATTTTTATTAGATAAGTTATTTTTGTGCGACCATGATCGGTTTTATGGGATTATTGATCCTTTGTTAATTATCATTTGAGAACTGTATCCCAAGCTACTGGTTTACTGCATTCTTTTATATTGATAGTTATTTATAACAAGCTTTATTCTAGATTTGAAATAACAGTTTAATGAAACAATAGTTCAATGGATAAAAGTGACATTTAAATAAACTGAACTTATCCATAGTTTCCAAAACACTTATTTAAATTTTTTAAACGTTTGTATTTAAAAAAAAAAAAAAAAAAATGCAAAATAATAAACAGCTGACAAGACAAATGACGTGGCCTCTGATTTTATTCCGACTAATATGAAAGAGATACATGAAGAAAGCAATATTCCCCACTTTACGTAGACACGAACTGCTGTACCTAATTTTCAATTACACAACCCTTTTAAAATACATCAAATGAAGTGTGGGCAACTCCGCTTTATATATCATTGTTAATTAAACCAATTAATCATAAAGTAGAATTTACGAAGGCAAGAGGTGCTTTGAAATTTGAATTAAAAAATAAAGAAAAGAAATTTTAATTTTTATAGATATTTACTAAACTAATTAAAACAGGTAAGAGAAACCAAGTGAGTGAAGTGAATTTCGTGAATATAAAGACATGAATGAACAACAACAATTTGTGGTGTTCGATGGGAGGAAGTTTTCTTGATTACAATAGTTTACGATGATTCATTTTAGGGCAGTGATTAAAAAAGGAAGTTATTTTTAACACATTCTTTGCAGATGCATTTTAATCCTTTCTTCGCATGTTTCGGCAAATGCGTCCGAGAAACATATGTTAGACAAAAAAGTTCCATGCATAGCTTTAGACATAGAACTCATTCTCATTTTTTTTTTTTTTTTTTTTTTTTTTTCAACGCTTAATTAGCGGCTTTTACCTTATACGGTTTATATTGTTTTTTTTTCTACATTTTTTAGAAATACACTATAATATCATAACTGACTTTAACAAAACTGGCCAGTTGTAAATGTTTGTTTGCGAACGGTTACTGCTTCTTACAAACAAATGCATTCCATTAAAGCTGGATGAGTCGACATTACTGAGTCATTGGGTTGACACACTTTAGCGATATTTTTGGCTAATTTTGAAAAATTCTCTTTAAGCAACCGTATGTTATTAAAACTTACTTAAACATTATCTACAAGTGCGCATTATGCTGTTGCAATCAGATAATTCCATTACTTATACATTACGTTGCGTACAAAGTTTACAGATTAAATATTACAACAGATGTGCATTTAAAACAAATGTTCTTCAATTTTAAGATTAATGCCTGTAATCGATTACTTTGTCATTGCATTCTCAACTAGCAGGGAAAAGTTTTACGATCTTGGTGCTTCTATAGAACTAAGACAGATTGCTCAGAAAATGCATTTGACATCAATATGTTTAAGGCTAGACATTACTTTCAATGAAAACTCTTGCTTCATATGGAATCGCGAAACTTATTTATGTATTTTGCCTGAAAAACAAAAATTATATGAATTAATCGAGTTGAGTGTCAAGACATTTAGAAGAAAAGTACATCTTTTGTCAACTATAGCAGAGCCTCCAAGGTCGAAGTAAATTTAATTTAACTTCACATTTAGCTTAAAATTTAAAGAATCCGCCGGAGTGGCCGAGTAGGCAAGAGTCTCGATTAGCAACTCAATGGTCGTGGGTTCAAATCTCAAGTTTGGTAGAGTTCTTAATAAAGCCGGAAAGCCTTAGATGGTAGTGCTTTAAGACTTTTAATCTTAGAATTTATTCTCTGACTAAATTTATAATAATAATAATAAATTCATAAATATTCAATAAACAACCACGAAAGGGTTTTTATGTTTAATTCAATTAGGCACAACTTCATAAAAAGGACTGATGCCAGTCTACTTCAAATTTATAAATTTATTTCTTTGACTTTGAATAATTAGGCGCCGAGTCGAATTGAAATTTATTTTCATTGAATCTTATTATCTTTTCGAAGCATTTAAAATAAATTTCTATTTCGGGTATAAGATTTTCAAATTGTTACATATTATGACTTTTTGTGTCCGTTTCTAATTACTTTTCAAGCAACAAAATGTCTTCGCGCAAAACTGCTGGTCGTCGTGCTACCACCAAAAAACGTGCTCAACGTGCCACTTCAAATGTTTTTGCCATGTTCGATCAAGCTCAAATCGCGGAATTTAAAGAGGCATTCAACATGATCGATCAGAATCGTGATGGTTTTGTGGAGAAAGAAGATTTGCATGATATGCTTGCTTCGTTGGGTAAAAATCCTACCGATGATTATTTGGAACAGATGATGAATGAAGCACCCGGTCCAATTAATTTTACAATGTTTTTGACATTGTTCGGTGAACGTTTGCAGGGCACTGATCCCGAAGATGTTATTAAAAATGCCTTTGGCTGTTTTGACGAAGAAAATACTGGCGTCATACCGGAAGATCGCTTAAGAGAATTACTGACGACAATGGGTGATCGCTTCACTGACGAAGATGTGAGTTTTTATTTTATAATTCAAGAAAATGCATTTCATTATTGAAATATTTTTTTGTTCATAGGTTGACGAAATGTATCGGGAGGCGCCTATTAAAAATGGTTTATTCGACTACATTGAATTCACTAGAATTCTTAAGCATGGTGCCAAAGACAAGGATGAGCAATAAAATTGACTTTTATTGATCTGCATGGGTAACCAACATTCCCTTTCCCATAAAATGGTTTATATATCCAATTAGCAACAAATATTGTATTCTTCTTCTTCTCATTTGATTTAATGATAATAACATTTTTACTCCAATACGAAATTGTTGTTGCTTTTCGTAAATTTATTTGCAATTACTCTTGAATCATTTTTTATCATTCTTTCGCAGTTGGACCGTCTTGCTTCCAATATCAGTGGCGATCATTTAACTATATCTACCGAAATCATTGCCTGTTTTATCTTTATGTACCAGTATTTGCATTTGTCTATCAGACATATATATATATATATATACATATATATATGTATATATATATATGTATACATATATAAATAAACGTATGCATATATTATTTTGGCCTTTTTTTTTTCATTATTTTTAATTTGCTTTATGTTGAATTAATATTCTATTCTTATAATCGTTTTCTGATGTACTTACAAGTAATATATATATATTTGCATATGCAGGCGTGCATACAATTTTAATTGGTTACTTGGCAATTGATTTTCGATTTTTTGTTATTAATATAAAATCACGAATCATAATTTTTTAAAATGAATAAATACAACATCATTTATTTAAACGTAATATATTAATTACTAAACAAATATATTGAATAAAAGTTTTTTATACATAAACCAGAAAAAATTGCAAAATGTGTCAAATTTAAATTTAATTACTTACGATCGCATTTCTATCGTCTATATCTATATTAGTCATCATATTAAACAGCCAAGCGGCATTACTTCTTTGAGGCAATTCTTAAGATAATTCTTAAGAAAATAATATCAATTTTTTTTTTTTGTTCAAAAGGCATTGGTGCTTACGCCAACATAGACGTTCAACATAGACGCGGTGTATTTTTATGTCTATCACTGAAGGCTGAGGGGTATATTCATTTTGTCCAAATGTTTGCAATGGCCAAGAGCAAGCTTCGCAGAAACTCACAAAATATATGTGTATATATATATATATATATATATTCTTGATCAGCATCAAATTCTGAATTGATGTAAGCATGTCCTTCTGTCCGTCTATATTAAACGTTCTCCTGGCTGCAAAAATAAAGCTATCGTTTACAAATTTGACAAAAACATTTGCAAGTTCGGTATTGAAATTGGATCTTGAGGTCTTGAGATCATACGGTCGTTTAATTTTCCTTATTACATTTTTAACCATTCAATGGCGAAGCTGCGCTCGCTTCATCAACACCGTCCTCAGGTAATCCAAATAGTTTGCCAGAGATCATATTTAATTTTATGAGCATGATTTTTCGGTATCATTGGCCGAATAAGCGAACTTTTAAGTTTCACAGTAAGAATAGAGGAGAAAAATCATAAAAGTCGATTATCACAAAATGAAATTTCCTTTGATTTGAAAATTTGATATTTATTGTCGTGAGGTGTTTTATTTTAGTTTAGTAATATATTCTCATTTTATACATTTATACATTTATTAAGTAACTATGAAGCTATAGGCCGGCCTACTGACTAATTACATATATACATTTCATTTGGGGAAAGAAATTGCAAATAGAAATCATCTAGATGGCCTGCAAATGTAATGCATTGTGCTCCATATATACATCGTAATCATCAATTGCTATCAGCAACAAAGTTTATCCCATGGATACAGAAGTGCCGTAAAATATCTTTCAAGGAATCATCGAATGATTTCGGAAGTGCAGTGCTAACGCCTACCTAGCAATATCTAGCAATACGAACAGTAAAAGATCGTTCGACTGATGAGTTAGAAAAACATGATATTAATATGAAAGGATTTCTGTTCGATTCAGAGAATTGCAGTCGTTCTATTTATTGAAAGCCTTCCGGATCGAGGTTGAATGACTTTGTAGAGGTGAATGAGAATTTTAAGAAAGCATGAACGAAGGATGAGATGTGATATCTGTATGTTTGACCATATAAACAAGGCGTGTCATTCGATTAACAGTACTTTGAAGCCTATCTAAGTTATACCTTAAGCATTCAGAGCAAAGAGTTTGATAAAATAATTAACATGCATCATGAGGAGCGAAGGCCCAATGGTATGTTTAAGCTGCAAAGGCAGATATGGATTTAGCTTATACAGTTTGCGAAACGGTGGACAAACTTTAACAGGGACATGCTTATCAAAGTTCAGTTCAGTTTGCGGTCAAGGCAAAATAAACCTCAGACATTGCAGTGAATCTACAAGATGAAAGGGAATACCCAGATATATTTATATTATGAGGTTTTTTTTTTTTTTTTTTTTTTTTGAGCCAGCATGGAGGCCTTAGTGAAGGAAATGCAAGGAGTTAACATAAATTTCCGAACGAATGCAAAATATTTGTTTAATGTGAACTATTTCCTTCATTCGGTCATTCGGTCATTCGCCTCGAATGACATGAACAGCGACTGATCTGCCACTTCCACGTTGCCAATCTTTTCAACCTCCTCCATCTATCATGATTAAGTTAACTAATTCTAAACTAAAGAATCGAAGTATTTTTATTTTAGCTTTTTCTGTTATCTGTTAGGAGGAAGATATGGATATGCTCGATGTGTGACACTATAACAATAAATGTGTAAAGAAATTCGAAAAAAAACGAATTATGAACGATTCTTAATGAAAAGGTTTAGTTTAGTTTTTTTTTTATGAAAAAATTTTTATTTTTGTTTCCATTTTGCTGTTTTGTTCTTTTGATGATATATAAATATGCAAAAAATTATAAATGCTTTTACAAAGTTATTTATATAAGTATATGTATGTATGTCTTTCAGTAATGTTAGATATTAGGAATGAGTAAAAAAATACGACATCCAGAGCATCATATGATCATATGTATTGAATCTTTGAATATTTTTTTTATTTTATTTAATTTTATTTTATTTTTATTTTATTTTTTTGCAATGACTGCTACTGTATATGTCTGATGTTTGGCTTATTTAGATTACGGTAAATCAATCGATTTCTGATGTTGCTGCTTTTGACTTTTCACTACAATTAAATGCTTTTTTTCATTTTAAAAAGACGACCAAGGATAACTGGCGTTATTTACCGCTTTTTAATTTCTTTTTTATTTTTATTTTTTTCTTTTTATTTATTTTTTATTTTTTTTTTTTAAATATTATTTTTCTTTTTTATGTTATTAAGTTGTGTTGTTTAGTGACCAACATTTTCGTATATATTGTTGGATAAGAATCGCAATTAAGCTCGTTTCTCCTCTTCGATGGCTTCCTTAGTTGGTAATGGATTCTTTTCACAAGTCTCAGTGTGTTTAAGTTTTTTGGCATCAAAATTTTCAATACCAGCGATCAAATTATTTTTCTCCTTTTCCATTTCAATGGCTGGGATATAATAAAGAAAAAGGCAATAAATATTATTCAAGATAATTAAGTATAAGTGAACATGAACTAATAAAAGTGCAACAACATTACAAAGCAACAATAAATGTCATTCACTATGCAAGGTAAGTGCGAGATAAACTTGTAAAATGTAAAAACAACAACAACAACAACAACAACAACAACAACAACAAACAAAAGTAAATAAATAAAAGAAAAAAAAAAAAAAAAAAAAATGAGAAAATCTTGCTAAACCCATAAATGGTTAAAATTAAACTTTATTTGAATTGCTGTCAAGTTTGGTAGCGTGCACGTACATATACACGCCAATGCTTATATATATCAAATGCACCAGGCTTGCTAAACTCATATATTAATTAATATCATATAAAAACTTTATATGGCGCGTCGCCTATTTTTAGACAAATATAAACAAAACAACTAAACGACTACAGTAAGCAAACAAATTACAATATTTGCCGTTTAGAGGGACATTTGTAGGCCAACGAGTGATCATGTATACTCATATTAATGTGTGGTCAACTTCTATTCGATTTCATTAATATGAAATTATAACAAGTTTGTCTATAAAATATTGTCGTTGTTGTCGTTGGTATTATTATTATTTCATTTTATATCCATCAAAGAACAATGGGCGCTTATATTAAGTTTACCATTTCATTTGTAATACGCAGACATGCACTTCAGCGTAAAGCTATAAAGTGAATACCTTTCTAATATTTCGTAAGAATCTTATAAGATTTAATGTTCCTGTCTGTTATTGGAAATTTTAAAATCACACATTTATTATAGAAAAATGCAACATGGAGCATGAAACATATGCTTTCGGTTTATGACCGTGAGATAAGCTTAAAATGAGCTATATTTGTGAGAAAACTGAAGCAAATATGAGAAAATTGAAAATTTTTCAATTCTTTTTTTCTTCTTTTTTTTTTTTCTGATGATAATTTATAAAGTATTGTAAATACCGCATATTTACCACAATTGTTTTTATATAAACACGTTCTAGTCGTTCTACCAAGAGGTTCCCGATTAAGATAAGAAACTAAACGATTTTCATTTAATCGAATTAAATGATGAAGAGATGTGTCCAACAAACATTAGCCTCAAGACGGATTAATTTGTTTCTTTTTTTAACTATCTTTGATTTTTGTCATTATTATTATTATTATTGTTGTTATTGTTGCTGTTAGTTTTGTTGTTTTTGTTGTTTTTATTGTTTTTATTGTTTTTACCTTCTTTATCTGGTAACGGATTCTTCTCCTGAGTTTCAGTATGCTTTAGCTTGGATGGATTAAAGGATTCGATGCCTTCGAAAAGAGATTTTTGATTTTTTTCAGCAGCCACATCTGTGAATCATAGGAAAAGGAAAACAAAAATCAAAAATCCTTTCTCTTTGTTATTTATTTATTTTGTTTTTCTTTTTTTTTTTTTTTAGAAAAGGTGGGGATGGGGGGGTAGGGTGAGGGGACATTTTATTGCGCAAACCTTCTGCTGTGGGTAGAATAATTTTTTCCTGAGTATTTGCATTCTTCAGTTTGTCAGTGTTAAAAGACTCGAGTTGACTTTTAAGATTTTCAGCAACTTTTGGAAGATCCTTAAGAGCAGGGGCTGCCATTTTATTGTTGTTGTTGTTCTTGTTGTTGTTTTTAACTGTAAAATAGAAAATACGAAAATGCGATAAGCAATTTTGTATTTTATTTTTTATTTTCTTTAATATTTATACATATATATATATATATATATATATATATATATATCACAAGCATATCCTTTTCGATGAAAATTTAGTTTAGCAAGTTCCCCTGAAAGATTCATTAATTTAAACTCTTTGTTAATTGTTAAACTAATGATTTAATTCGAGTAAAAGTAATCAGAACCTTTTATTTTTGCGATTAGTTTAGATATCAGTGCATAATAGTTAGATCAGATCAATCTAAACGGTGTTTAACGTTTGATATGGCCATAGCTCTGGTAGATGTAAGGTAACGGATTAGTTCTAATTATATTGAGTATATATATATCGATAACAATATTTTGTTGTTTTTTTTTTTTTTTTTTCATCAATTAACTGCAGTGAACTACTAATACCTTGTCTTTCATCTTTAGATTAAATGATTTACCGAAACGTTTTTCACAGTCAAACTGTCATTGCAATCTGTCATAGTAAACGAAAAAATCTATAGACGTAAATGAATATAATTTTAATCAGTGATATACTATCCTTGATGATGTTATTTTCGAGATATTTTTTAGTGTTAGCCATGCTATGAATGCATTCATCGAAGCGTTATTCGATTCTCTTGTTCTTTTGCTATAAGCGCATTACAAAGAATATAAGCCGACATTTAATGACTAAATCATTGTTTACCTTTTCCATCTTCATTTCGCATTAAAAAATGATTAGCCATGAAAGTATTTAAATTATGTAAGTATATGCATGAATATGCGCATAATTTTCCTTTAAATTTCATAAAATAATTGATGCATTTAAATAAATATCCGCTTAACACAACTAAATTGGATATGTTGTACACGCATGCATATTCTTATACTCCATGATGATTATTATTATTATTATTATTATTATCACTGGTATTATTATACCCACCGCAGAACGATGGGTGTATACTCAATTTTTTTTTTCTTTTTTTCATAAAAGAAACTTTGAAATATTAGCGTAAAATTCTGAATTGATTAAGCCATGTCTGTCCGTCTGTGTGATATTTGCTTTTGGCAATCACTCTTCGTCGCAAAAATAAAAACAAATTTGTGTGAAACATTGGTTAATTTTTGCACACAGGTTAACATTGAAAATAGATCAAATGGGTTAGAGCAGAAGCCCGCTGTCGCCCGCTTAAAGTGAACGCAATTTCGTTTTTCTTCACAAAAATTGATGGGTTTTCCTTGTCACTTAGAATTGATAAAAACTAAAAAAAGTGTAACATTTTCCACATTTACTTTACGAAACTGTCTACTCTTTAAGGTCCAAAATTGGCAACAATCGGCTATGCCCACACTAACTTACAAGTGATTCAATATTATTCATTTTTTTTTTTTTTTTACTTTTTTGCGATTTTGTGCTTAATTCATCATAAGGCAAACAAGGCCGAATATATAAAATTATTTTGTACATTCCGCAAATGAAGATATATAATATCTGCTCAGAAATTGGTTTAATTCTTAAATGAATATGATAGACGCGACATCGCGATTAATTTTTTCTTAATGATACTAGCGATGTGGATAGCAAATAAAGAAAAAGAACTTGGAGAGTAGAATGCGAAAAGCATAGTGATGGGTATGCGAGATTCGGTGCTCATCAAATATAATTTTCTTACTTGTTATTATTTGTCGCTACAATGAAAAGGAGATTTTTTTTTTTTTTTTTTGCTCAATATATTCTATATTGTGGTTACAGTGAAGAGATTTTTATCGTGACACATCGCCTGATATCGTATTATGCTCGTCGCTGGAAATTCATTCGCATCACCATTTTAAGTTACAATGAGGGCAAATTGCTGCTAAACTATCTTATTGGTTTATTTATTTTATTTTCATTTTTTACATATGAAAATTAGTTAAAATAAATTAACGGACGAATTCAACTGACTCTTACAACTAAATCTTATGTTAATAATTATTAGCAATTAATACAAAGTAATATATATAAAGAGAAGTAAACAAAAAAAAAATAAATAAATAAATATATATATATATATATATATATATATATATATATACATATGTGAGGAGACAACATTAAAAAAGAATAAAATTCATGTATAAATAAATAAGAGAGACAGACAGACAGAGAGAGAGAGAGAGAGAGAGCAAAAAAGAGAGAAAAACCCTTGTACACATCTAGCACAAAGGCACACCCGCAGCCGATACAGATCAGAGTTTTGAGTGAGGGCCTTTGCAAAAGCTTGTCAATCGATAGCAGTAAACAAATTCATTTAATTTTCGAAGGATAGTAAGATGTTAAGGTTACAAGTTTATTTTTAACTAAGCCATAGGCAAATTGCTCCTGCCAAGACAGGTTGACTTGATAGAAATTAAAAAATTCCGATATTGAGATTATGTAGTAGATGTCATTTGGATTCTTGTGAGAGGCTTGGAACGGATTGAGCATTGACTATGCTTTACGACAATAAAGTTTTTAGAGAAACGTTTCGGGACAATAAAGTCTATCGCACCAAGTAGTACCATTTAATTAACTTAATTAGGAAAGATACACCAAGAATATATCTATGTTTCTCAAGTGACGGTAAAGCGAACAGAAGCAATCTATTTTGATAAGGAGGCAAGCAAAGAGACAAACTGGTCCCATTCCAACTTTCAAAGGGTAAAAACAGCCGGAAACAATTTTAAACAAATTCTATTGAATCTACATAACAGAATATCACAGAACAGAGGCATACCCAAGAAGCTCAGGTAAAGCCTTTTTTTGCAATGTAAGGTGCTTCGCATTGTATGTCTTAACTTAATGGTTAATGTTAGGATCATTATTATATTTACTATTTATTTCAAAGTGTAGAGGGAGTTTTTTCTCTCACCTTAATGCTGGTGGTTACTGCAGTAAACTCCTCCACACTAAGCTGATTTTTCGTTAATTTGGAGAACTGATTAAACCTTTTCTTTGTAAATACTAAGCAATAGTCGGGAGATATATTGTCTTTAAAAAACGAACGTCATGTTGTTGTAGCACCGTTTTGAAAACTTTCTCTTGAAATATTCCCACCATACTATATATGTGTCTGGTCCGTCCTTCTATCCCATATAATATCTTATCTATTAAGAAAATTCATTATATGACGCATTAAGCAAGTGGCTGCCCCTATCTCACTATAGTATTTTCATTTGTTCAAAAATGTCTACAATCAATGTAATACATAACACATTTTGTTTCTCATCGATGTGAAAATATTATGGGGTAAATAGGAACAGTTGACCTTCTCACAAGAAGCTAAAGAAGCTAAATTTTACAAATGCTATTACAGTGTCACGTGTTCATTGAATCGATCGAATGAACGATCGATAGAATGGAAAATAAAAATCCCACAACAAATCCGATGCTTTGATATTGAAAGATGCAAATTAAAAAATTGGACATACCTGTGGGGTGTTGTAGGCGGTTGACCGGTTTAGGTCGTTCCTAAATTCTTCTGCTACTTTATGGGCAGAAAGAAGGAAGATATCAAAGATACTACAGACGGACAGATTGAGCAGACGGACGAGCGTGCTTAGGTGTATTCTCATAGAATATGTGTTTAAATTTTTGTATATTTATCTGCTTTATATAGTTTATGAGTAATTTTAAAAAACCGATGGATTCTTAGTTTACATAATTCCTGTAGGTGTCTCCTGCGGCCGATGTGGCCTATTTTCAATACTAACATGTGTGCAAGAACTTTCAATGTGTTTAACAATTTTTTCGTGATAAATTGCTTTTTGGTTTTTAATTGCCAAGCTATCCAGTCCGATCACAGTAAATTCAAACAAATTACAACTTGCCCCCCCCCTCCCCCGCGTCCTCTACCCAACCCAGCCCATAGGCATATTTTTATCAAATATTATTAAATATCTACAAGATATTTCAAGTCCATAAGGGAAGCCCGCAATTAAGATGTAGTTAAGAAGCTGCAAGCCAGCCAGCCAGCAATAATAATAAATATTTGAATATATGTGTAATATGCTTTAATAAGTTTTGTGAATAATTTTCTTATTACTCTCATTTTTGCAACCAGTCAAAAGGTTAAAGAACTGTAAAACAAAAAAAAAAAACAAAAAAAAAGTAAAAATAAAAATAAATAAATAAATAAAAGAAGAAAACCTAACAACCGAATGATATCAGCAAAAATCCATTAAGTATAATAAAGCAGTGAAAAGAAAGCAACGAAAATCGAAAAGCTATACAAGTAGAAATTGCAGAGACAAAGTCAAGAAACAAAAAACAAAAAATATAAAATAAAATAAAAAAAAATTCAACTTTTCTTGAATGTTTTATACACCCATTCTTAATCATCTTATCGGCCGGCTTGTTATATGTGGGGATGAATTTGCGTAGACTTTACATATAGGTATGTATAATTTTTATATACATACATATACATAAAGTTTCACTGACTTTGTCTACCACTGCGCCGCCACACCATCAGAATATTATGATAAAGAACTCGACAATATACAGATCATGTATATGCATGCATTTCTTCCACTTGGCTGTTCAGTCTTGTTATTCTTTAAATTATTATTATTCCCTATCTAGATAGATTAGCAGCGAAAATAACAACAATAACTACATATGAAAATAAAGTTGTAGTTGTTTTCTTCGTTTTTTTTTTTTTTTATTTTCTTTTTATTTTTTTTTCTCAGACAAAGTTCAAGTGTACATATTAGGGTGGGAGTGTAAAATCCATACATAAATAATTATATACGTATATGCATATAGATGTATGAATGTGTTCTTGTATACATGTATGCGTCGTTCACTCTCCCTAATTTAATGAAACATGCAAAAAAAAAAAAAAAAAAACAAACATATTTGTATCCGTCATTGAAGGATACAAAAGTATACTTATTTTCTCTTTCGATTTGTAACAAACACAAATAAACATCTGTGACCGTATCGAACAATTGTCACATACTGAAAGTACATTACAAAAAAAAGCCATTAATCCTTTTATGAGTGCATGCATCAAAATGATAAACATTAGAGAATATTTAAAATATATTTGAAATGGGCAAAGATCGAGAATTTCTTATTAACATAAAAAAAAAAAAAACCGAAATCTAAAATAGACGATATTAATCCACCGAAACGTCTGCCAAACGAAACGAAAAACTATGCGCTTTTTATACATATATAAGTGGTGTTTACAGAAAGTTCATCTCTCCGGTCGACTATAGCTTTACTAGTTACTTTAACTTTATATCTGTATATATATATATATATATATATGAAGAGAAATAGAGCGAGTGAGAGAGAAACGGAGATGAGGAGAGAGTGAAAGAAAGAAAGAAATAGAGAGAGAGAGAGAGAGAGAGAGAGAGAGAGAGATAAAGAGAGAATGCGAATAAGAAAGAGAAAATATTCATATTAGTATATAATGAAATGAAATGAAAAGTTGGAGGATATAACAAACACTGTATGTTACGTTTGAATAACGAAAAACTCGCCCTTGTTCAACATAACAAGAAAAGTGAATAAGTAAGTAAATAAATAAATAAATAAATAAATAAATAAATAAATGAATGAATGAAAAAAGGGACGGAAAGAAGATGAAATGAGAAAAACTTTCAAACAAACCAAAAAAAAAAAAGGTGGTGCATATATATATATATATATATATATATATATATTATATATTATATGATTCAGAATGAATAGCTGCAGGCTTCAGTGTAACCAATTTAAAGTGACGTGTAGTAAAAATATCGCTTCTAATACAACCACACATACGCAGCCAGTTAGCCAGTATTAACGACAATACAATAGCAATTTCTTATAGGAAATAAAAACAAAAAATTAATATATATTTTACAAAACGACTTGTTTTGAATTTTAAAATTCTGCTTCTTTTTCCCCTCTATTTTTAGTAAAATATTTTTATTTTCCTGATTTGTGCGACTCAGTAAATGAGTAACTAATTTACGAAGGGCTGTCAGTTGACGTTGAAAAATATTTACACGTATATGTATGCATATATGTGGTGGTTTAATGCACTTTCATCTATGTATGGGAAGACAGATACATACAAAAAATTATACGTTATTCACTTCAATTCAATTCAATTCAATTCAATTTCTTTTTTCCTTTTTTTTTTTCTCTCGTATTCTACGGATATATGGATGTTTTCATACTAACTATATAAGATATGAGATTATATATTTATTTGTTAAACTATGCACAAAAAAAAAAAAAAAAAAAAAAAAACCTATTTATACTAAAAAGTGGTACAATTTTAAATCTTTTACAATTAAAATTTCTTTTTTAATTCATTTCATTTTGGAGAGTGCTTGAGTTGAATTAATCTCCTACATGATAAAAGTTGACTTAACTCCTTTACCGTCGTTGCGTATTATAGCACTATGATAATTTGCTTTTTATGCATATCGTGTGTGCATGTCTAGGGGAGCTATACATAAAACATTCGTCAATAGCATAGGATGGGTAATGAAGGGTGTTAGAAGGGTGCTTAGCCGTAGCAGCATAGGGAAACGTAGACATAAAAATGAACACAATTGCCGCAAGGTTATATAGCCGGTAAAGTATTCGTATCGACTTTGCAGTTAAGCAGCGAGCAGCGAGCAGCGTGATATCTTTTTCTTACAAAACATTGCATTTTCTAATCAATAACACTTTTTACTCTTTTTCCGGCTGATCTGAGTGACACGCCCATAATTATATGCGTATATGCATAAAAAAACAAATTATTTGCAATTTAATATTTTATTCTATTTGCTTCTTCTTCCAAGCGAAATATCCTTTTTGCAGGTCAATCTGAGAGCATTAAGCAAACTAAGTTAGCCAAGTTGTATGAAATGAAGAAAAGCAATCTATAAATATGTTCAACCTTAAGCTTAAGATAATCATTATGCTTTATAATAAATTTTCTTATTTTCACAAAGTAGCGATCGTACGATACGGACGGACGGACATTCAAAGTTCATTTGCCGTATGGTGCTAGCGAGACAAGCAAAATCTTAACTAAAATCCGCTATCATCTTTAATGCATAAAAATGCAATGTGAACATTTCTCTCTACTTTCATTATTTAGAAAGCATTCATATATATGTATGATGATACTATTATAATATAAATGTAAGCTGACACTAAGAAGGAAAAATAGAAAATCACATTACACTCTAATAAACTGAATGCCCACTTGACGAACAGGTAAAGTAATGTGTTACTGAAGCACAAACAAATCGCTTTCGCTCAATTTTAAGTTTAAAGAGAAAAAGACAATTACAACACGAAAGCCGACTTTAGCTTAGAAAAGTTCTGATTGCTGATCAGATTAGCTTTTCAACCATAAAGCATATATTTTTGCAAGTTTAGATCGTAGCGTCGACCAACCACCCACACAAATTATCTAACTAACTAAAATTTTGAAGAGAAATCAATATTCATTCGACTCGAGTGAATTGGATTTTGTTGAGAGGGGAGAGAGCCTCTTAAGACTTAAAGTTCATTTTTTTTTATATTTAAATATCATTTATATATGCATACGTACATATATATATATATATATATATATATATATATAAACAAATATAGAGCGAGGATCGCTTATTGCTAAACATAAAGTAGTGAAAACATAACTAATACTCGATATTTGATATCGAATCAATTTGAAATATGAACAGAGCTAGCTATTCGATGACCAGCCATTCAATGTAAAAATGGGTATATATATATATATAGATATATATAGATATAGATATATATATATATATAATATATTTCCTAACAATTTTTCGACGAGGTTCCATTCCATCGAAGATTTTAGATATTAAAATTGTAACGCAACATATTTTTGGAGAGTGGTGACGAGATCGTAATTTTTGCGTACAAACACATTGAACATTAACAGCAACAGCAGGAAAGAATAAATATGAATATGCACACACATATCACACAATTATGTTCACAAAATTGATCAATGTTAAGAGAAATTTAAGGAATACGAGTCCACGAATGCAGTGCAATAATTGTTAGTTCAATTGTGATTGACGATAACAATCAGAGCACGTAATAAATATGGGTAGAAAAGAAATAAAAACAACAACAACAAAATTCATATGAAATACATTTAACTCTGCAACTTTTTTTTTCATTTTTTTTAAAAGAAAATCTCATATCTCTCTCACATGCACACAAACAACATAGTCGCGTTCATGCATATGCATATATATATATATATATTGCTTGCCCGCAATGAATTAGTCATACCAGAGTTGATGATGAACACTGAATTATAATTAAACATGATTAAGTTAATATAAGCAGTCTGCATATATTCTCGATCGCCGTCTGCGTGCGTATATGTTATCGAATAGCGTTATAAATATTGATTAATGCCTATGATTCAGGCAGGCAGTCACATAAAAAGGGAAAATCCTTTGTTCCTATTGCAGGACTTGTATGGTATGAGGCGAATATTCGGAAATTTCTTTTACATTTCTTCGCCCTCATTCTGTTGTAACAGAAAGCTCCGCGAATTTTATTAAGACGACCACGCCCATTAGCAAAAAAAAAAAAAAAAATAAATAAATAACTATTTATTATGACAGGTGTGTCTTTACGATAAACACATTTGTAAACATTTTTTACTCATATTTTTTTCTAATTTTTTCTTTTTCATTTCTTATTGTTATTAATGGAAAAAATATCTGATTTTATATGGTTTTCAGATTGAACGCCTTCTGTTTTATAGGTACATGTATGTAAGCAGTGTCGCAGTTGCACATATGTGTGCATTTACTTTCCAGCCAAACATAGGCATCTAAATGGATATAATTATTATATATATATATATATATATATATATATATATATATGCATATACGTATTATGTGCGTATATACATATGCGTACGTCTGGCTGCCCACCATTTGTGTACAACAAATATGTCAATTTTTTCCTTTCTTTCGCACTCTTCTCTTCAGTATACGCCTGCATATATATATATATATATATATATATATATATATATAGTATCTGCTATACGATATCTCTCCTATAATAAGAAAAAGGCATACAGTCATGCATACAGGCGTAGCAGTTACAATGGTATATACAAATATGTTTAGTTCCCCCTTCCCCCGTATGTCTAACGTCCCGACCAACTTCGTCAACGCAATCATCTATACTGTAGTGATTAAGAAATAATCAAAGCGGTCAAGATTTTTTTGCACAGATATTAAATCTAACGGTAAATTGCTGTTAATTGGTTTTCCGCAGATGCATAAACACACCTAAACATACGAATTTCTCCAATTGTTAAAAGCTTCTTCTTATTTATTTTTTCTTACAACAAAAAGAGCTACAACAAGCAATTGCTGCAGAAACAAGTTGTAAGAGATTTTGCCAAAAACTCATTTATTATTGAAAAAAAAAAGAAAATTTTTTTTCACTTAATTGGAAGAAAAATAGTAGATTGCATTATGTGTAGACAGATATCTAATTTTTTCCTTTTTTTTTTTTCTTTTCTTTTCCTCCCGTTACTCTCTTTTTCATTTTTGCGACGAACACTAAACCTAACAAAGCCGGTGCTTTTTGCTAAAGTTGTTGTTAATACTTTTGCTCTGGGCTTACAATATTTCATACTTTCATACGTTATGTATAAGGTCTTTGAAAGAAGAAAAAGTCGTTTAACTCTTGAAAATTTTGCCGGTATTTGGCAAAAACCAGTTGTAAGAAACAATAGCACAAGAAAAAAATAAAAAAATAAAAGAAAAAAAACTTTCATCTTGCCTTTTTTTTAGGAGAAAAAATAAAAATAAATAAATAAACTTAATGAGTTATTATATTTACTAAAATTAATTATTTTCTTGACTAGTTTTCTCACTTACCTTAATATATATTAATTGTAGGTAAAACCGTAAAAAAATCGAATTAAAAAAATTTTGGTATGTCTCGATTTAACTCTGGCTAACTCTGCTTGAATTTTAATACTTTTAATACTTTTGTATTAAATTGCTTAAATTGCTCTTGCTTTGTTTAAGCGCTAACGACAAATGAGACAAATGAGACAACAACTTAACAACTTATACAACTTATACTTATGACTATGTGCAAATTACTACGTTGCGTCCGCATAAGCATCTAAATCAATTGACCTGAGTTTGCATAAGCAACGCCTTTAATTTTTATATTTTATATATTTTATATTTTTTCTATGAGATATTTCTTCTTTAGCAATTGATTATAGAAAGGAATATATATATATATATATATATATATATATATAGTAGGAGATTGGAAAATTAATCCTTTCATTCTTTTCTTATATTTGCATTTCCAATGATATTATTTATTAGAATTATATTAGGATGAGATGGATTAGGTTTAATATCTTATTGTGAACATTAACTGCTTTATATAATCGAATTGGAAATATGTGCTTAAATATTATATTATGATGGACGAAATTATATTTTTCCAATTCGATTTCAGTTAGTTTTATTTATTAGATGAATAGGTTAATTTTTTTCTATTAATTTCGGCTTTAACGAGAAAGACTTCCATTAAATGCGTAAAAATGAGTGAAATGCGTATCTTAAAGTGAAATATTTAAAATAATATATGAATAATGTAAATAATAATGTGCTTGCAAGATTCTTCGCAAACAAATTTGAGAAACAAAATAAAAAAAAAAAAAAAAAAAACAGTCATAATGGGAAGAGAAAAAGAATCTTACTCTCAGATAAGTCAAAAATCGAAGTATTACTCACGACTTAATATCCAACTTCTATTTAGTTTTTAACTCAACAAAACTCACCTAAAAAAAAAGAAAAAAAAAAAAAAAAACAAAGAACGAAACCGCGTTGCCAGATCCTTCAAGCAATGTCAATTTTACTTTTCTATAAATCTATGATAAGTTAATTAATTAATGGTTCGATTTCTTTTTAGTTCATATGATATTCACATCTGGTGCGAAAAGCACGCTTTCTTTTTGCGGACAAAAGCGCTGAACATTGTTTAAAGTAGAATTTTGTCTTCTTGTTTTTTTTTTTTAATGCATAATACTTTTACTCTTTCTCTGGCCTTCTCACTTTGTATTGTAATGAAGGCGTGTCATTTGGCCAATCTGGCCAATTCTTAATCCCAGCTTGCGTGCAATAATTAATATTCCTGACGTAAGATATGTTTATCAAATGTAGACGCACAAATGTACTGGCGGACAGACACGCTTAGATCAATTCAAAATTTGGCACAAGATGGAGAGTATATATGTGCACTCTTTAAAGTCTCTGAAGAATCTTGCAAAGCCTTTGAGAAGATAAATGTATATTCCAAAATCCAAAAACTAATGATGGGTATACTAATCTTTAATATCTACACGTCATAATCACAAAATATTTCATTAAACATAGACCCGTCACTCAGTCAGTCGAGAAAATTATCAGGGGTCTCTAGAAAATACTTGTACCATGTTTTAGCTCAATATATCTTACAGGTAATGTTCTCTTGTTTACTCTGGACGTGTTTGAAATTGCAGATGTTTCTCGTAAATACTTGGGTATATTGAGTACCAGATAAATTCGCCAGTTCGCCATTAATATCAATTTTCAAATTATATCGGCTTCTTTAACTAAGGGATATATCTGCAAACTTCAAATGGATGACCAAAAGAACAATTCAGAATCCTACACTGTTGCAGAATATATATAGTTTATGAGATCCATGATGTATACATTGGGACGTTAAGAAGTAAGAAATAAGAAATTGACAGACAGACAGACAGACAGACATGTTTAAAACGATTTAGAATTTGATGCTGATCAAGAATATATACACTTTGCGGGATGTCTGATGCTTCCTTCTGGGCGTTGCAAACGTTTTGACATCCTTGGGTGATTGATATCGAAAGTGAATAATATTCTATTCTATTCCTTGGATAATGGAAATAAACAAATGGTTTACTTGCCTATAATTATCCTACAACATTTTTGTATTGGTTTGAGTAGATCGGTGCACTAATTTTTTCTCAGTCAAATTATCTATAGTTATAAACGTAGTTGTTCACATTATGGTTCTACCCACATGGATAATTCGGAAACGGATTTAACGATTTTTACAAATATCCTACGGCAATAATGTAATTTTTTTGTACGGTGCTTTTTCGATGAGCAAAAGCGTTTGTTACACTATATGCGAGAATAAATGCTATTTTCATTTCGCCTTTCATTTCCAAATAAACAGATCGGAGAAGTATGGAAAAAGAGTTTACCCTTACTGTGAAAACATGAGAAGCGCTTTTCCAACTATCCAACTGCAAGGTAATTCTGATATATTCCATAATTTGTAATCAGGGTATTGTAAAGAGCTACCATCGGCTGTCAAGTATGTCAGCATAACGGACTGTTCAGGTCTCGCAAATATAAAACATATGAGCATATGTTAATGCGCTTGTAAGGCCTTTGATTAAACAGTGCTGAAACGGAGCAGATCGATTAATGATTTGCTAGGGCTATGCTTATTACATTTTTGGATACGTATTCCTAAAAACGGAGCGATGGAATATGTATATCCCCTCCACCATTAGGGTTATAACAGGAAACGTCATAAGCATAAGTTGAAGTGTGCGGTTGAATTGCACTACATTGAAACTTTCGGTTGAGGGACTGGTTCACTGTATATTTTTCAAACAGATATGCTTTGAACCTTCTAGAATATGTGGATAAAAAATTCATTATATAGAAGAAATGTTTACCTTGAAATTCTGGATTTTGCCCCAAGCGCTTCAAAAATACTGCCTATGCCAAATGAATACCAGCGGTATAATTACAACCTATTATTTTACCTGATAATCTGAAACAGGTCTAGGATACTACTAAGACGCCCTAGGAAAGCAGTTTTGTTCACTTAAAAGCGTTCATTATTTTTGAACAGGTTCCAAACATCAAAGTGTAAAATACGAGAGTCTATCTTTGTTAGGTGCGGCAATAGCGATATCTTCTGGTAAAAAAATGTCGAGGAAAGATGAAGGAGAAGATTATTCGACTAAACAGCAAGCGACATAACTCACACAATTTTCGTTCTCTTCGGAATTCCAATTCGAATATTTTGCAATATCTTTAAAAGAACATTGTGAAGAGACATGAGCAGGGAATTTCCAACAAATTAATTACAAAATTATTGTATTATATAAAAAAAAAAACCTGCCGGTTAAAAAACAATATTTATAAATCACTTATCTATATCTCTAGCTATAGATATGTACATTTTTGTATTCTTTTTATATTCAAATTTGCACTATTTAGCTCGGAGCCCCTTAAATGACAGACGCCGCGCGGGAATGATATCACGATTGTTACTTTTTTGACATTTTTCAAAACTATATATATATTTTTTTAATACTTACGCATATGTCCAGCAACATCTTCGAATATTATTATTCTATTACTTTTTTGTGCTCACATACATACCTTAAGTCTATGTGTGATACTTGGAGACTTAATATATAGAATGAGATAACGTTCGAATAAAATGTGTCCGATTTGATTAGTGATTTTTCGGAATGCAGGAAAATAGTACTCAAGCACTCCGGCAGCTAACCCAATCTGGTTATTAATATGTTATGGATTCAGATGTCAATTGAAAGACTCTCTAACAAAACTATAAATAGTGAAGTCCTTTACGCTTGATATACTTTGTATATTATATCATATGTATATCGTACTCAGGAGTAACAATGGTTTTACAGTAAGCTATGTCCGGACGTAAAATCGGGACCACATACCATATCGCTTAATACAGTTTTTCATTCATTAAAAAATTATACATTGTTTCCCTGTAAAGGCATATCTTTCATTAAAGTTCTCATATGGGATCCGTCTAAATTTTCCAAAATTAATATTTTTTTCAGAAATCTTATTTTTCATTATACTTTCATTGCAAAGCATTAAAAATTTTGTATGAGAAAATTAATATAGCTTGGGGTCCACAAAATCGACCTTTGTGACCAAAATTTCCCACAGTTCATTTCCATGTCAAATTGTTGTTGTAGGCAATTTTATATCATAAAACATTAAAAAGGCGTCTTCCTTGTCGCATAAAGACTTACTTTTCGTAGCAGCTGTCTTATGAGAGAGGTTTCAAAATGTTTACCTTACTGGATTCTTGCAAGGATGGTCCAATCAAATTCGTTTTCAATGGTTAATTGTCCTTGGGCCAGAGCACTTCATTGCACCAGATTTCGTAAAAATAACTCAAAAATTGCAACTTGTGTGTAGTTGTGGGTAGAGAAGGTTAAAATTAGATGCTTCAAGATAATATATACCACTCATATATGCTATGGATTTCAAATTACATTTCATTGTCTATTTCGCGCTTTTTATTCACATTTGTTTGCTTCGTAGTTTCGAGTGACCCCTTGCGTTAACTGATTTTTAATTTAACGGATTGATTTTATTAAAAATTAATTAAAAATGAAACGTAAAGATTTTAACTTGAAGAAAGACAGTTGGTTGTTTGTAAATGAACACTAAGATTGATTTTTTTATTTTTTATACTTAAACAAACAAAAATCGTGAAAATATTTTTTATTCTTGATTAATTGGCGTATTAACGGAACTTATTTCTATGCTAAACAAAGACTTGCGAAAATTACGTTATACTGAGGAAATAAAAACTATTTTTTTCAAGTAGTTTAGTTTCTAAGCTTAATTCCAAATAAAGTAAACGTTAATGTAATACTTTGCTTGCTTAGGGCCGAAAGCGTTTTCACACGGCTCCCTCTTTTACATTTTTTAAGGAAAGTTGACTGACTATGATAGTCTTGGCTATGCAGAGTCTTGATAGAAAGCTTACACCAATTAATTATGAAAAACCTCGGTTAAGAAAATATGACGACATGAAAGGAAACGGATGAACGAAAACGTAAAAAATTTGTCTTGCTTGCCTGACGTGCAAATAACGAGCTAAAAAAACTGGAAAACTAAAAGCTATACTTGTTTCACTTATTACGGCGTAGCATTTTATTGAGTAAATATGAGCACTTGAGACCCAACATTAGTATTACCACATCCTAAGCGTTTCAATCAATTTCTCACTTTAAATATAGGATAAACAAGTCTTAAAACTTAATCGCACAAATTGAGCAAATTTTAATAAAAATATCGTTATGATTATATTTTTCTTTTTTTACTGTAGCACACTTTTTCCAATAGTAATCTCGTCTAAATTAATTTGTTTTTCTCTTTAAAGTTCTTAAATTATATGCTACAGTAATTACCATCTCCGCTAAAAATCTTCTTTTGATGTTTTAAGAGTCTTGCCTCAATTCAATTAAAATTATATTGCTAAAGTGAAATTTTTTACAATTTATTTTTTTAACCATATTCTATATTTAACTATTTAGTTTATGTTTTATTTATTTCCTTTTATTTTTATCGTACCTGTAATATAATAATTGAAAATTTGGAAAATTTACATTTCATTTCGTTTTACTTACGTTTATTACAGATTTTCATGTGTGCTGGGGTTGTGTTCTTCGTATCATGCATAAGTAAAATAATCGGTTTTTTTGTGCAGCAGTTATTCACATTTATTTCCAATAAGTGTTTACGAAATCCTTTTGCAGTGTACGACTTATTTCATTTTTTTCTGCATTTATGTTAGCTTTCTATCCAAAATGCTATATCTCTTTCGTATAATATTTTCGCCTACCGCAAACACGATGTCGTAAGCAATCATTGAAACTCTTTCTAAATCATTAATTCTTTTTAAGATTTCCCCATTATCGCAGAATTTGGGATATGTAAAATTTAATAATACGGCGAACGTGGCAACACTGAGAGAAAACTTTGCAAGTTGACAGCAAACTACCGGGCAAATAAACGTGCTTGTGTCAGATTATTCTGGTCTTCTGTGAGTTGTGAAAGCAGTCAATTTCAACAGTAGCCATTTCTGTACTTGCACGCCTAGCGAAAAATTTGTGAGAATTTTTAAGAAAATCTGATACGAGATTTAATACGTTTAGTGTAAAGTTTTTTATACAAAAAAGAAAGGAGAAAATATAAATATACAAAGAAAAGTAAGTAATATGAAAATAATTTCTCAGAACATTTTCTTATTCGATAGCTTATAAGATTACATAAGAAGCACGATGCAAAATGTGTAGTGTGTCAATTGGAGACCGGGGTGGTAAGCTTCGTAGAAAATAGATTTCTAGAAATTTCATTCAAGCTATTAAAATTATTTAATTATTTAAAAGAATGTTTGTCACGCGGTCCAGAAATTAAATTTAGATAAATTATGAAAAAAAATTGAAATGTCATCATCTATATATATGTATATGTATATATATACATATATATACGTATATACATATCTACACATACATATATTTTCATAAATTTTCTTCATGATTAAAGTGAAGGAAGAGATTTTACAAATTGAAATTGCCGAGCCATGTGCCGCAAAACTGCAATATGCGGGTAAAATGTGCTATGCCCGTACACATTTATATTTGTATTTGTTTAATATTTATTACCCCTCGGCTCGTTTAGCAGGACCTGTACAACAATACAACATTATCCCACATGGTTAATAAGAAGTTTTCTTTGAATGTATTATTGAAGTGCTTATCTCTCATTTGCTGACCGCATTGCAAATGAAGATGAAGACTATCTGCTAATATAATAATAATATGAGAGTTTACCTACAGATGGCAAATAAAATTCTTTCATTTTTTCCGATCATACAGCCTATATTGTATAATATGTTGAGAGATTTTTTAATGTCGCAAGATTCTAGTTTCTTGTTAGTCCCAATCCGACTGTCCTAACTGTAAAATAAACGATGCCATATAACATACAATCTCAATTTCTGAAATTTCTTATTGGGAACTTATCTAAGTTATATATATTTTATGAATTTCCTATATCGCTTGAATAACTTCCTGGGTGTTAGGCATTGGAACTTCTCTCGAACTTCACGCCAAATTAACTCTCGTTGAATAATTCAAAACTGTTTGCAATCCATTTTGTATATATGTTATTTATCAAATTTTGAAAGCTACATGATTCGTATGGAAATTATAAACAAGGTAAGGAATTTGAATCGCAAGTTTTGAATTCTTCATAAGTGTCGAGAGACAAGATAAAAAAGTAAGACGAAAAATAATTTTGGTGTCATTCGAATAACGTGACGAGCTCTAAATCGGAAAAATTTGTTACTCTATCGAATTGTTTCTTTAAATCTCTAAATTATACCTATGGAAAATCTCTTATAAAATTTAACTGAGCAAAGCAATAAAATCCCAAATGCAGCGAGAGCCCAATAATGTCAATATTCAATTCTAAAAAAAAATTCAAATGACATTTCTAGTCTTAATTGTATAATCAAGGTCACAACTGGCGGCGACATGCTTCGCACTGCCCTTTAATTTATCGATTGAATATGTTTGCGATGGTGTGTTTTCGGTCATTCGTATTTAAAATAATATAAGGTTTTATAATTGAAAACTGAGCAGTCTTCCGCTTAAAAACCATAGAATTGGAAATATTATTATTCTTTTCTCCCTCTGTTTCTATATTCCTTAATGTCGCTTTAATCGTGATGGGGATCAATTTGACAGAAAAAAAAACATAGTAAACGACCTTGTAGTGTTATAGTCTAGCTGTGACTAATAGGTATGGACAATATTTGAGTTAATCGGTCATCTAATATTTTTGTATGAGTTGCGATGAATGTCGAAATAAATTTGCCTTTTTGAAATCAATAGATGTTGCGTTTATCAGCTACACTTGCTCGCTCAGGAATTAGACACCAATTAGCCGTGCGTGGCTATGCCAAGGATGTGAAATTTGGTCCAGAGGTTCGTGCTATGATGCTGCAAGGTGTGGATGTTCTAGCCGACGCTGTCGCCGTGACAATGGGCCCGAAAGGACGTAATGTCATTATTGAACAATCGTGGGGTTCGCCTAAGATCACCAAGGATGGTGTTACTGTGGCTAAATCAATTGAACTAAAAGATAAATTCCAAAATATCGGTGCAAAATTGGTTCAAGATGTGGCCAACAATACCAATGAGGAAGCTGGTGATGGTACTACCACAGCTACTGTATTGGCTCGTGCCATTGCTAAAGAGGGCTTCGAAAAGATATCTAAAGGTGCCAATCCCGTGGAGATACGTCGTGGTGTAATGATGGCCGTTGATACCGTTAAGGATCATTTGAAGACCATGTCACGTCCAGTTAGCACCCCCGAAGAAATAGCTCAAGTAGCTACGATTTCAGCTAATGGCGATCATAACATTGGTAATTTGATAAGTGAGGCCATGAAAAAAGTTGGACGCGACGGTGTCATAACTGTTAAAGATGGCAAGACTCTAAGCGACGAATTGGAAGTTATTGAAGGCATGAAATTCGATCGCGGATATATATCACCATATTTCATAAATTCATCGAAGGGCGCTAAAGTCGAATTTCAAGATGCTTTAGTTCTGTTCTCAGAAAAGAAAATCTCATCAGTGCAAAGTATTATACCTGCTTTGGAACTGGCCAACCAGCAACGCAAACCTTTGGTTATTGTCGCCGAAGATATTGACGGGGAAGCATTAAGTACTTTAGTGGTCAATCGACTGAAGATTGGCTTGCAAGTAGCGGCCGTTAAAGCACCGGGATTCGGTGACAACCGTAAATCTACACTCACTGATATGGCTATTGCCACTGGTGGTATTGTATTCGGGGACGATGCCAATCTAGTCAAATTGGAAGACATTAATATCAACGACTTGGGTAAAATCGGTGAGGTAGTTATTACCAAAGATGACACATTACTGTTAAAAGGTAAAGGTAAAAGGGAGGATGTTCAACGTCGTGTCGAACAAATTAAAGATCAAATCGCTGAAACCACTTCCGATTACGAAAAAGAGAAATTGCAAGAGCGTTTAGCTCGTCTCGCTGCTGGTGTAGCTTTATTGCGCGTGGGCGGTTCCAGTGAGGTGGAAGTTAATGAAAAGAAAGATCGTGTTAATGATGCTCTTAATGCCACTCGTGCCGCAGTTGAGGAGGGTATCGTACCTGGCGGCGGAACTGCATTGTTGCGTTGTATTACTAAACTAGAAACTTTAAAGGGTCAAAATGAAGATCAAAATATGGGCATTGAAATTGTGCGCCGTGCCTTGCGCATGCCTTGCATGACTATTGCCAAAAATGCTGGCGTTGATGGTGCTATGGTTGTAGCTAAGATTGAGACCAAAGAAGGCGATTATGGTTATGATGCCCTTAAAGGTGAATATTGCAATCTAATCGAAAAAGGTATAATCGATCCTACAAAGGTACGTTTTGCGCATATTAAGTTTTTCGAAACTTTTTATCATATATCTCGTTATTATCGTAACACATTATAGGTGGTGCGTACGGCGATTACAGACGCTTCTGGTGTAGCTTCTCTTTTGACTACTGCCGAAGCTGTTGTTACAGAATTGCCAAAGGAAGAAAGTGGACCTGCTGGTATGGGAGGAATGGGTGGTATGGGCGGTATGGGTGGCATGATGTAAAATGTTACCTAATCCCCTATAGCCATTTACAATTCATTTTTTTCTTTCGATATTCGTCTTAATCTAGCCGGTCATACATTTTCGGTTTATATAATTATTATTATAATTTTTCTTCGTTACACCAAACGCAACTACATTCGTAATATATTAATTTTTGCTACCATTACTATTAATTACTTTTAAATATATTTAATTTAATTAATTAATATTTTTACATGTTATATATGTAGAAAAACAAAACACAAGAAAAGAAAATTCAATATGCATTAAATTACATCAATTTATTACATACATATACACAAATTAGTTCGTAGAAGTTGACTGAACAAATCAGTGAGCTGCGATTCAAAAAAAGAAAAAGGGGCAAAAATACATAAATTTTAATAGATGTTAATCTTACATACATATTGTCTTCTTTTCTCTCCTTTTTTATTATTATTTATTTCTTGATAGCAGTGTAGTGTAACGATCCCTAATGTTAATGAGATGTTTCTCCGGCCTTCTAAAATAAAATTCTGTCAGAGTAAATTATTGAAACTGAAATTGTTATAGCGAGCATTTAAAATATTGCCGGATTTTAGCGAGCGACATATATACAACTTGATTTTCGCGTCAGCGTGCAACTTGCCAATTAAGATTCATTCACTTCATATATATATATGATTACCCTGAAATTTTACACATTCTACTACACAGCCATTTCTTCTAGAAGAAGAATTAAGCTGTGGAATGATGTACGCTTTTATTCCAAGAAACATTTTTATGCGCATTTGCATAAAAAATTAGAAAATTTCTTTCCATTAATTATTCATGTACCCATGTGTAGCCCGATAAGAGGAGATAAAAGCAATTTTTAATGAACAAGAGAGAAATTAGAAAAAATGAGAAATTCATAATTACCTCGTGGCAGATCGATATTTCAAATTTATGAAATATTCCCGCAACTGTGTAGGTATGTGTCAGCACAGTATTTATTATTATTTATTTAGCCAGAGAATAAATTCAAAAACTAAAGTCTTAAAGCACTAACATCCAAGGCATTGAAAATTCTACTGGACTTGCGATTTGAACCCACGACCATTGAGTTATTAGTCAAGACTCTTCGTCTCATGGTTGCCTACTTAGGTGGGTTCAGCGAAGTAATTGTGAACATTTTCATAAAGAATCTTTCGATGATTCTCAAAAATTATTGTAACGAAATTTAGATGACTACCTACTAAGAGTTTTCAAATAATTCCTAAGCATACGTGCATCCAACTTGTCCATAGAACGTGTCCAGTATAATTAACAAACAGCAGATATTTCGAGCTGGGATAAAGTGCGGCTCTCGAAGGTGTTTGCCGCTGTTCTCTTTGCGTGTAAAAAAGTACGTGTTTAACCAATTTTTTTGTACCAAGGCTTCAGTTTATCGATATTTTTTTTGTTTTTTTTTTTTTTTTCGGATGACAAAGATTAATCTGCCTCCTTTTGTTATTATTACTATCTCCAAAAATTTTTTTGCAATAACCAGAAATACTACTCGGAGGAGATCAAAACAAATATTTTTCTGATCAATGTGACATATTAATACGATTTTAATATAAGCTTCTGCTTGTCGGGTAATTTCGGGTTCGTCTTAATGCATTGCAAATTGACAAAAATTGATTGATTTTAAAAAAAAGTAAGAAAGTTAGCTGTATTCGACGGGAACCGAATCTCGCATACCCGGCTACTATCGTTTTCGCATTTTACTCTTCAAGTTCTTTTATTTGACGCCCATATCGCTGGTATTATTAAGAAAAAAATTCATCGCGATGTCGTCTATCATATTCATTTTAGAATTAAGCCAATTTCTGAGCAGATAATATATCTTCATTTGCGGAATGTACAAAACAGTTTTAAACATTCTATCATGTTTGCATTATAATAAATAAGCATAAAACCTCAAAAAATTGAAAGAAAAAAATAAAATTTATTTACTCGTAATTTTATGTGGGCGTGGACGATTCTTTCCATTTTTGGATGCAACGAGTAGAGGATTTTGTAAAGTAAATGTGAAAAATATCAGCCTTCTAATTTTAATAATGTCCGAATAATGAGCAAAAATCCAAAAATTTTTGTTACAAAAATCTGAGTTGCGTTCAGTTTACGTTCCATTGCGCGCTTCTGCTCTGATCAAATTTGGCTCATTTTCAATAGCAACTTGCGTGCAGAAATTTTCTAGCAAAATTTGAAGTCGATATTTACATTTTTGTGACCAGGAGAGTGGCAACAACAAATACCGCACAGACGGACAGACACGGTTAAATCAATTCTGAATTTCAAGCTGATCCCTGAAGTTTCCCCACCCTCCCCCCCTCCCCTGCAGTGGTGGGCATAATAATAAAATGTGTTCATTCAGTTCGGCTTATGCAATACATACGCAAGTAGGATTTACTGAGGTCGGAATGTAAACAGTCGCGTCAAATTAATGACTATTGATTAAGCTACGAGTATTGATTGATTTTGAATCAATCCGCAGAATTCCGCAGATTTCCTATTGTGTAATTGATCAGTAACAGTAAAAATTTTTCAAGCACAAGTAAATAAAAAATAGAAAGGAAACATTCTGACACCCATTAGTATAACATCCAGTTATCTTCTTTGTTCCACTATAAAGTGAATGCGTTGCAAGTGCAATACTTTATTATAAACTATTGCTATCGAAAGAATAACATACATATGAAATGTATTTTTCGTATTAAATGAAATATTCTGAAAAAGGTCTACAGATATATATATATATATATAAATATTGTTAAAAGTCTTTAGTTATAGATTTGGCAGCGAAAATTTTATTTATTTAAATAGTTTCTAAAGGAAATATGAAAACTATAACAGCAGCGATGATGGTCTATCCCTAACATATACATATTGTTGTATATATTTTAAATTTATAGGAAACGTTGAGTAAAGTTCAAAAGCAGATTATATGCGAAGGCGTCGAATTATTTGGTTGATTAGCGTTAATATCACACAAGGTCTATGCAGTTGTTGAAAATGCCTATCCATAGTATAGCTTGACTAGTGAGCAACATGGGAAATATCTTGAAATTCAAAGAACCCTCAAAAACATTATAAATTCGTCAGGTTTTTTCTAATAAAGAAAATGAATTTGCCGGAAAATAGATTAATATTTTCGTTAAAAATCGACACTAATCGTCGCCCCACAATTAACGTGAGACGCGACATAAATGATTTCATAAAATCGATCTTCTATATATGTAATCGGTCGCTTTGCCAAAACGTATTAAAAATTGCGGCCTACAGTTGACGGATAGACTCGTTTAAATTATTTGGAATCGATTGCTGTAATAAAAAAATAGATTTATTTAAAGTTCTTCAGAGTGCACAATCTCTCTCTCTCTCTCTCTCTCTCTCCCTCCCTCTCTCACCCAAAAGAGGATGCGAGCTATTAAAGAAATTCCAATATTGACATAGTTGATTGAGTCCAAGAAGTTTTAACACAGCATTTATGCAGATTAATTCCATAATACTTGTCATTCCATAGCATACTTGATGAAAGTAGATTGCATGCGATCTATTATGACTCGATTTTGCTTCGAATATATTGAAAATGAGAAAATTGTAGTGATAAGAAAATCTCTTAGTTAGTGTAAGCTAATAATTGGGCGGCAATAACTTCTGCATCATTCAAAGAGAGTTTTGAAGTGACTTTAGATTTTTTGTTGGCAGGTTCTTCCAGCTCGGTATCTTCACTCTCGTCATCAGAAATGCTGCTGTTAGAGACTTTGCGAGAATTATGTTCGCTTTCGACTTTTTCTTCGTCTGTATCGGAGGATAAATTCGTTCCTTGCCCTTTATATATCTTCTTTGGATCAGGCAGCCACGATAAATCAACACTGGTGTTATCGTTTTCTTCTTCTTCTTCTTCTTCTCTACTGCTACTACTGTTATTTTGTTCTTCTTCGGATCCTTTACGGTCAAGTTCATCCGCACTTTTCAATTTCTCTTTAAGTTTTTTATGTCTTCTCTTAACCAATTCTCTGAAACGTTGTTTATCGTACTTATCTTCTTCCTGCAGCATTTCTTTGGCCATTCCAATGTCAATTCCCCCGCTTACTTTAAGCTTGTCGTCATATTCTTTGGCCAATGTTGATTGCAATTGTTTGCGATGATCGACAATCTCGTTGCCATCGTCATCGAATATACGTTTTTCATTGACTTGGAGTTTCTTTTTCAGCGCTTTTTTAGCTAAACTTGCTTTAGTAAGCAATTTGTCTTTCTTGCGTAAAACGGGGGCAGGTAAATCTTCTTCGTCACTTAATGCTGCACCATCTTCAATAGCATGATTGGCCCGTTTCAGTGTTAACAATTCTTCATCATCGCTCTCAGAATCATTATTATGAAAAACTTTAAAATTAGACGAATCTTCTTGCGTTTCCTTTTTATCGGTGAGATTTTCTGTTTCTTTGTTATTTTGCTTTTTCAGGAAACGTTCAAGGAAACGTACACGTGGTGTCAATATTAAACCCAAAGATTTAGCATATGCTTCCATGTCTAAGGCCTTGACATTAAAAATCTTTTTGTTTTTCATTAAAAAAATTGATTTAATATACGCCACAAATGCCCGCTGAGCTGAAGATTTCAACTCAGGATTTTGAGCAAGAAATGCTTCAATTTTGGCACGTGGAGAGAATAGCTTTTTAGGATCGATCATTATATTGCGTATAGTGATAAATTGTCTCTCCAGTTCAGCTACCATGGCTTCTTCTTCCGAAGGCAATAAAACTAAAAGACTTTCGCCGCGTGATTTATTTCGCGCGGAACGTCCCGCTCTATGTATATACTGAGTAACGTCTTCAGGACAGTCCAGCTGTATAACCCAGTTTACGGATGGAAAATCAAGGCCTCTGGAGGCTATATCCGTGGCGAAGAGAACAACATTGCTCTTTTTCACGAAATCGTTATAAATCGCTATACGACGATCTTGATGTAACGTACCATACAAAGCTAACAGACTAATGCCAGGACGCAGCTTGCAGAAAATTTCATAAATGTATTTAACTTGTTTGCAACTCGCCAGAAATACAATAATTTTCTGTTTTAGATGATTCTTGATAAAAGACCATAGCATAGTTATTTTGTCCTCAAGAGCTACGACCACATAATTCTGCTGTAGTAGCTCAGGCACCATCTGGGCTGGTAGTTTTTTCAATTTATTTTCCTCAGGCTTCCCACAGCCTATATGTACCGCTTGCTGTAAATTCAATCGAGCTAAATCCTTTAGTGAATTCGTTTGGGTAGCGGAGAATAGTAGCGTTTGTCGGGTCGGAGGAAAATTTTCTATTATAGCATTTAGGGTTTTTTCAAAACCCATATCCAAGCAGCGATCAGCTTCATCCAAAACCAACACCTCCATAGTGGTAGCATCGAAGAGAGGATTCTCATCCATATGTTGCAACAGACGTCCAGGTGTACATATCAATATATTGCATTGATCCATCCGCTTACGTTCAAATTTTAGATTTTTGCCGCCAATAATCAAACCCGCAGAAAAATCATGATATTTACCTACACGTTTCAATGTTTCAAATATTTGATACGCTAACTCACGTGTCGGTGAGATAATAATAGCAGCCACACCGTCTAGACGGGACCATTTGCTTACGTAAAGGTGTTCCAACACCTGAAAAAAAAACAAACATATCAATCTTAAATGCGAAAGCTTTATATTAATTTCAATCTATTTACCGGTATAAGAAAAGCTAAAGTTTTTCCGCTTCCTGTTATAGCCGCGGCCAAAATGTCTTTGCCTTGCAATGCAGGTAAAATACTTTCCCGCTGTATTTCAGTCGGTCGGACATATTTAGCTTCCGACAGGCCCTTCAGAGTTTTCTGGCAAAGGGGAAGATCCGCAAAAGATTTCACTTCTTCGTTTGCACAGGATACCTCCTGATATGCACTCTTCAATTGCAGAATTTCTTCATCCAAAATATTTTTAGAAGACTTTTGCGATTTATGTTGCTCCCGAGCACGTTTTTGCTTCATGTTGTTGATGTTTTAACAGCTGTAATTATTCGCTTAACTACTTAATTAAAATACAACGTTGTAAAATTCCGTAGTATTGCATGAATAGTGTTATCGACTTGTAATGCTCGCATTAATAGACCTATTACGATTAAAGAGTCATGTGGTAGTGGCAACTTGCTTTTCTTCTGGAGTTACAATGGTCATCGACATTTGAATGGAAAATATGGAATGGTGTGGAATGACCAGGATAATAAAAGATACTTGGATATTCTAAAGAGCTATATTCCAAGTGTCAATCTAATTACAATACCTTCAATTCCTCTTAATAGTCTTACCAATACACCCTACTGGGCATTCAGCTACTGCTGCAGGTTGTGATGGAGTTTAGTATGACATGGTCAGAGCACTGTCTGGAGGAAGTTTAAGTATCTTCTTGCATGCGATTAACAACTACTGGTCTATTAATTATTAGATTTGCGATGTATCAAAGTAGTTCCCAAGCAACTTCAGGTGCATTTCGCTAATATCTGTATTCAGACAGATTATCAATATCATGGTCAAGGAGAGACTAATCGATTTCTTGACAACTGGGAACATTTTTCCAGCTCGTTCTTATGCCTATCAAAAACGCAAATCTATGAATGTGTGCGTTAATGAACTATCTTTTCTCATAGCCACTTTAAAAAAAAACTGGTAAAATGGCTGTTATGCTTTTACTGGACATCAGCAAAGCCTCTGATTTTGTCAACTCGTTTAAGCTTGGTAAAACTCTTTTAAACTTTTCAATTCCTCCTCAAATATGACTTTGGATACTAAATTTTTTATCCAAGCGTGTTTTGGTAATGAGTACAGAAAAAATGGAAGTGTACGATGGTATTCCCGAAAGCAGTTCCTTGCCTCCCATACTCTTCAATATATATACACAGCTATTTTGCACGATCTTCAAGATGACAAAGCTCACATTTTTCAATATGACGATTAAGATGATTTTTTAACTGTATCTGCGGATTCAACTTTTTCAGTGGCTGTGAATAATCTCTCGATAAAAGCTAACCTTTTTCTCGATGCATGCGTCGATCTTAATTTATATTTGAACCCCACCAAAACAAATTATATTTATTTATTGCCAAAGGTTCTAAACGCGAAATCAGCCTCTTTATCAAAGGAACTATAGTTAATCAGGTGCAATCTCGTCGATTTCTTGATAGAATTTTAAATGACGGCGTAACTCTTCGTGGGAACTATGAAAAGGCCTTCAAAGATTGTCAATCTGGATGCAATATCATCAAACGTATGACTAACAGTCAGTCAGGCTTGCCTACCAAAAAAGCTTTGACTATGTGCAAAGCTTTAGTCAGGTCTAAGATTGAATTTGCACATTCTATACTTTGTAATTTTTCAAAACGGATTGAGAAATATATATCGACATTAGAAAATCGACTGTTAAAGCGCTGCACTGGGCTGACCCCTTTAACTCCTTAACATACTCTAAATGTCCGTTCCCGAAAGAGCTCCTCTTTGTACTGCCAATATAATAAATTTTCTGTTTTAATATAAACTAAACTAATTTTTTATATAATAATTTAAATTAAGCGCCAAAGAAGTTTTGCAAGAGGAAATATACGTAGCTATTGTGGCATTTGTGGATATAACAAGTATTGTGGATGGCATTTTAATCAGAATTTATGTAGAATTTATGCAGCATTTGTTGAGTTTTTTTGTAAACAATGTAAAAGAAAAAAACCGCTAACGGATTTCAGAGAGAAAACAAAGCAAGTGTTTTAAAAAGTGAAGATTTAGCAAAAAGCAAAGCAAAGCATAAAGCTTCTTACAAGTGTGTTTTTTGTGTGCAAATTTAAAAATTTCCCAAAAAAAAAAGAAATAGTTATAAAAAAAAGTAAAATAATGTAAATTAAAAAAAATTGGATTTTTTATGCAGAACTAATTGCAACTGCTGAACTGCACTTTCAGATATGACTTCTTCAATTACCTAAGCTACCTAAGTCTAGTTAACGTTTTCATATTCAGATGTTTTTAACAGGCCCTCGAAAGCTGTAATGCCATGAACCGGTTTTTATAATTTCGGAACTACCTCCGTAACAATGATCATAAAACAAAAATATTAAAATTCTCTTATAGTTTGACGACCGTTTAGGCTCTTTTGCCATTCATGGCAGTCTAAATGTTCTGAAAACTTCAATATGTATACATATATATACATACATATACCTGAGCCGATAGCCTGTGTTGCTAGTGCTCAATGTCTCTTTTTTTAGTCTAAGAATTCAATTCATTAGTCTAAAATTAAAATAATAATAATAATAATAATAATACATACATATATATTACACTGCCATAATTTTTATTATCGAATTAAACAACGCCCTCGCTAAATTCCCTGTTGAAAGGCAAAGCACAGAGTCGCTTATAATAAACAAATGGTTAAGTGCCCAACTTAACAACTTAAATGTTAACGCCAATCAGCTATGTTAAATGCTCAGCTTAACAGACTAAAGGGATTCAATTCTGTTAAATAACAGACGAAAGGGATTCAATTCTGTTAAAATTCAAAGCTGTCGGCAAAACAAAGATTCAATTCTGTTTATTTTTTTTGTATACCTGATGCATTGAAAAACTTTACATGACTGTTTCCTACGATTAAATATTTGTTGGCAATCATCTGGAAATGGTTATGGCCTTTACTTTTCAAATGTACTCATTAGCACGTGCGCGGGCGAATGTAAACAAAAATTAGAATTTGCAACAACAACCATACGCCGTACGAAATTCACACACATGGTATTAGCTCTACATAAAACAAACACAAAAAGCTTTACAAAAATACTGGGTTTTTTAAACAGGGTCGTTATTTACGAACTATTAATTTTTTAGCGAAATAATTTCCACAAAACTAATAATACTGTAATGAATTCTTTGCAATATGGCAACTCCTGACGCATTACATTACTTTTTTTATAAGTTTGTTTTTTGACTGACCTCATCCAGTTTATAGCGAATAATATTATTCTATACAATATTTTGGTGAAATTCTTCATTTCTATTAACTAACAAAATCATTTAAATTTTTTAAAAAGTCAGTGCAATATATTATTAATTAGTATTAATTCTAAATAGTTACTCTTGCACAGCAAATCGTTAATTTTAATTTCTCTGTAAGATACGAAAAGTGAACAACTCCTCTTTTTTATCACTTTTTTTTCGCTTCGATTTTTTCGTGTTGCTGTTTCTCAACTACCTTAAAACTTTATTAAAACAGGTGGGTGTTTTATTTACGCTTGCTAAATTAATAGAGCAAGAATTTGTATGTACGTTGGTGGAAGCATATAATATCATGTTAACGTAGCTGGTTAATTAAAATAAAAAAACTTGTACCCTTGCCCGCGCACATGGAAAGAAATTAAAGAAAAGAATGCATTCTTTCCATGAAATCAACATAAAATATTGTATCGCTTCCGTGAAAATAGAAGTTTGTATCTTTTTTATGAAAATAGTATAATATTTTGCAACTTTCTTCCTGCTCTCCATCTTCTGGCATATATCCTGAAACATTTTCTTTTTTCTGCATATACCTTCATGTCATTACAATTTGCATTTTTCATTTTGCAATGCCGACGGCAATTCGCATTTTGCAATGGATTTTAACAGATCTCGTGGGTCATAAAGCTCTTTTAACAGATGTCGTGAGTCATAAAGCTGGCGGTTTTGCAAATTAAACGATCTGGCAATTTAAGTTGTTAGTTGGGCACTCAACCATTTTTGGCAATTTTTTTATTTATTATAAACTCTATTTGGGTAAATATATCTTCAAGAATAAAAAGATGTCAAGTCTGGAAAGTATTGTTTGGAAATTTACTGTCATTTATCGTGGTTTGCCCTTCCTCTTGCTTTTGCTGTATTAAATATTTGCACTTTGAAATCATTAAATTTTTGCGTTTTTGCTTTTGCTTATTGGACAGTGGTGGCTATTCAAATTTCCATTTTTTAAATGAAAAACAGAAAACATGAAGTATTTGAAATTTATTTTATATATGGATGTGCATCTACAAATTGGAGATCCCACCAATTGATTTTAAATTTAAAAAAATGATATTGATTTTCGTAAAACAAAGGAAAACAAAAAATAGTGGTGCCAAGTAGGTAAAAGCAAGAAAAAAATTTGGCGAAATTGTATGTGGTACCTGCTAACTAATTTATAAAAAAAAAAAAAAATCGATCGGTAGTTGAATATCAAAAAGAGAGCCTCAAAAAATCTTAAATCTGATTATGTGTTGATGTTATTCCAACAGGACTATATATGTTTACTTATTCATTGTCGATATATTTTGTAAATATATTTACAAGAGAGTACGTTAAAATGAGTGCGCGGGTAAATTAAATATTGACCGATGACACAAAAAAATTGTAATTGAACATTAATCAAGATAAAAAAGAAAAAGGGAAAGAATATCTATTATTCCGTGTGCTTCAAACCACAAGCAAAAACAAAAAATTGTTTTTTTATTAATACAATGACACAAAATCTCGATTATTGAAAGTGTGAGAGCCGAGAAATATTGAAATGTTTTTGTATTTGTATTTGTAAATTGTACAACCATCCATCTGTGCCAACTCGTTCAATTTGTTAGCAAATAAACGAAATAATAATAGCAGTAACCAAATGAAATTAAGAAAATTATTTGCAGGTATGAAAGTAAAACTTTTGTCAATGTCGAGTATCAAAGGGAAGCAAAACCAAACAGCAAAAAAACAAATATAGTTGAGAATAACTCAAACGAAAACAAAAACGTAAAAAGCCGAAACCAGCTGAGTTTTCTTTATTATAAAACTTCTTCTTTTGCTGTTATTCAGCAAATTAATAACCAAAAATTCGCTGCGATGTGTAAAAAAGCGTCGCATTAGCGTAATAAGTTAATTAAAAATTTTGCGTTCATCATCAATTAATCAAGAAGCCTTACTCGATATATACCGTAAATCGCTACGGGGACTAACACAATAATGCGCTATTTCGTTTTTCGGGTAGACTAGTCTCAAACGGTTAACATAATGAGAAGCACTTTTATCATACTCTTTGATAAGTAAATCGAACACAAAATCATATGTTTTCAGAGGTAAAAATGAAGAAATCAACATAAATGTAAAAAACGAATATATAGCAAACATATAACATGTATAACGTTGAGGAATTTCGTACAATCAAAGATCCAAAGCGTACAAACTTGCTATTTTGTTGCTATTTTCGGATTTCTCATTACTATTTTAACGCATTTTGTTGCTATTGTATTCTTGTTTCTATTGCCCCAATATCCACATTTTGTTTACGTAGTAAGTGTTCTTAGGGAAAAGCGGAAATGCAAAATACGCTTCTTACAGTAAACTCTAAAAGAAATGTAAACGAAATCAGAAACTTTATTTAAAAGACATTTATTTTATCATACCTTCCATTTTAATTTTTTTTTTTTTTGCAACTTGTAACATTGTACATATTATATTTTAAGCTTGCTATCTAATACAGCTATTTAATGGTAATTTTGTTATGACTAAAGTCCTGGTTACTAAGTTCGTATTGCAAATAAAAACGGTCTTTAGGTTTCTGTATAGGTTTAGGTATAGAAGTAGATAGGCGTGGGTCGAGAAAGAGACATCGAGATATATACAGTTAGACAGCAAAAGAGAAAAAAAGGGAAGACCATAAAATAAATGTACGATTTTGTAAGGTCAATATCCAGCGGGCGATGGTGTGCTAAATTAGCATTTAATTCATAAAACTTGTATAACAAGCCTCTGAAATTTCATAAGTTTACGTATTCTTCATCGGAAACACATTCTAAAATGATCAAGCCATTTTTGTCATTCGATTATCTTGTTTATTCGCCGATCGAATTGCGAAAGTGGCAAAAATATAAGTAAAAAACTGGCAATGATCTACGAAACAACTCATCATAGACAATTCAAAGGAATGGCAACAAAAACAAGTGTTGAAAATCACAATATTGTTTTGTCAATAAATTTAAGTACAACTAGATGTTAAATGACTGTTCAAATACGGCTATCATCTTAGGCACTTGCAATCGGAATTTAATTTAGCAAAGAGTATAGCTAGAGTGTTATTTTGTTTTCAGCTCGATGACGGTTGGCAACGTTGCTTCCGAAATGAGGAAAACAATATCTAACGGATAATTATGTAAGCAGACGAAAGCGAGTTAAGTCATGATCGCCAAGACAATCTAATCATGTTGGCAAATTTTCTGGCGACTTTCGACAAATGCGCACTCTCGCTTATGTCAAATCTGGCGGTAATAAAATTGAACAAATTTACATTGGTATTGAGTATAAACCAAGTAAAGTTCCCATAAATCTCCCTTTTAGAGTTTCGTTTGCAAAAAAGTAGCTGCAAAAGGAAAATATAAACCACGTTTAGAAAATGAAACTGAAATGAATTCAAAAATTTAACAAAAAATTAAAAGAAACTAAAGTGTATCCGAAATTACATTTGTGAATTGTAAAAAGAAAAAGAAAAAAAAAATTTGGTAAAAGTAAGTAAAACTTCTTCTTCTTAATATGGAGTTAAAGTAAGCTAAATATAGATTAACATTAATTCTGCATAACTTTCTTCTATTCATTGCATTTTGCATGCTTTTTATTGTTTACCATATGTAGTTTGTTCTCTCTCATTTTCTACATTTCTCTCAATTATTAAGGCATTGGAAAATTTGAGGAGACGGAAGCATTGGAAAGCTGGCGACAATGGTACCTAATTAGCCTTTTGGTCTCCTAATTGTCTCCTAAATAAAATCAGGCGATAATCGATGATCGCCTGCTTACATGATCACCCCCCTGACTTTTTGGTAAGATCGATAAAGGGGCTCGTTTTGTTTAGCATTTTCACGAATTTGCCGTAATTGAAACATGTCATGCTAATGACGCCCACGCGTTCTTATAGAAGATTTGTTCCAATCGATTGACTGAATATTCTTAGATCGCATTGGGCATGCTGCATTGATCTGATATAAAGTCATTATTATTTTACCTTTCTAATTCCTTTATCGGACTTAATTCTTGTCTGAATAGTGATGGTCCCGTTAACGTTCCGATAATGCCTACACATAAAATTTAGAGAAAACTAAGGCATGTTTCATCGTATATTCCACCTTAAGCTAAATTGAGATTAATTATAATAAATATCTAGTTGTGCGACTTACATCTTATGGAGTTCACATATGCGCTCAATTTCCTGCAACTAATTGCAGATCGTTGTTAACTAGTGCGTCAGGTATGTTTCCAATAAACGAAGATATGACAGATTCTAGCAGTTTTCGCCGATACTCCTTAGCAGTACAACTAGCGAACTTGTGCACACACTCGTTTCTATACAAATTCTATACTAATTAATTTGGCCCCAGTCACAGAGATGGATGGATGTCGTTAATCGAATACAAAATGGATGTGTTTTGCCTATATATGAACCCACAATAGATAAGAGACTGGAAGCAATTCGAAATTTATTTATTTTCGTCTTTAACTTTCAATCTCGTGCAGATAATTGTGAAGAAAGTTTTCATAGGTATTTGGCAAGGCCATCTTAATGTTTGCTTTGGTCAGTTTCCAGGATTTTTCAAGATCAAGTGGATCCATTCGGTAATTGTAGTGTTAATATTACAGAAATTGATGTAAGAAAAAAAAAATAAAAATAAAAAAAAAATGCAGTTTACATATGTGTTTAACACCATTTAGATTGAAGCTATGGAATTCGTTGACGCTTCTTATAATATATAAATACATGTTAGTAAATATATTTTGATTTTTTCATTTTATAATTCACTTAAGTTAGGTTGCACACTTTTGCTAACTAATTGTGCCGTGGCAGTCTCTATATATATTGTTTACTGGCACAAAAGTTTTCTTATAATCAATAATTAAGATTTGTTATAAAAAAAAAAAAAGAGAAAAAAAAAGACTATTAAGCTATTTGTCAAAGGAGTGTATTCCAGTAAAAAGTAATTGGCTTTCATTTAAAGTTTAAAGCTAATTTACTTCAGTCCAAACTTGTCTATTTGTTTTTAAGATTTAAGATTTATTTCATCCATTTTTCTTTTTCGTTGTACGTCCTATCTTTTTACACTGTACTCCTGATTTTTTTATTTGTTACTACCTCTTACTTACATAAGTAGAGGAAGTAGGAAGGAACGTACAAGTAGCGTAAGAAGTGAAGTACGGATCTAAAAAAAAAAAAAAGAGCTAGGCAGAGTGTAGACTTCCATAAGACATAAAACAGGGTTTACGAAATAAAATCTGCCCGAAGCTAAACTCAATACAAAATTAAAAATTAATTATGTAAACTATACTCGAGAGCGAATTCTTTGATATGCTGTCTAACATGTCAAAACATTGAAAGACTGTATCGGGAATTTTAAAATATTGTGTTAAATGCAGACGCGTTAATTGGTCAAAGCGGAAAGTTTTGCCGCTCGATTTTCAACCTACATAGTCGTAGGATATATTTGTATAAGAAATATAATTTTTTCTTTTTTTTTCTTTTTTGGAACTTCGACTTTATTCGTCAACGAAGAATCCTTCAAGTACGATACGATCAGTTCGGTTCGTTTTAGTTTCTCTAACGAGCTCATCATTTGATCTAAATCTCTTTTACTGGGCTATACCTTTAAGATTTGCCAATAGATAATGGTCGCTGAGGGCTAGATATAGAGAATATGTTGCTTGAGGCAGCAAATCGAACTTTTGCCATTGCAGCCGTCGATCAGCGTCCAAAGTACCGTCAGTTTTCTATTGCTTAAATCTTGATTTAATGTTTGACAAAACGTTCTTTGGACATGTTCATGACTTCTACTATCGGCCTTAATGCTTAATTCACGTGATCGTTCAGCACAATTCGATGAACTTATGCGATGTCTTCGTTAACACTTACAGTTTTTAGCTGTTACGAACGTTTATTGTCATCCCACCAACTGGTATGGCCACGTCATCATTTAGCTATCCAAAATTTCATCGTAGTAAATGATGGTATAGAGTCTTAGTGGACAGTGTCTAACTTAGCTTTAGTTTATATAGGCGTGTTGTTGCCTTTCGAAACAAATGCTCATGTCAACTACCTATCTGCGCTTCCAAAATCGCGAGCACTTATCAACAAACGCATAGATGTTTATAGGATTTTATATGGGTAACTGCCTTGAAGGCGCCACTCTAAAAGAAGGACGGCAATGCCTACGCCATAAGATCCCTAGTGTCATGATGCTTCAGAATGAATTAAAGAAACTATATGGACCACTATTCTCGCAACTTCGGTCAATGTCGAGGCCTATTTAAAAATTTCTTTTTTAATATTTCCACAACTTTGGGGTTGACCACAGCCACAACTCTACTCACAGACAGACCGTACCCAGAAGTCAGATCTAAGTCTATCTAATTGTGGTGCAAAGTGCATCATATATACTCAAAGAACTCTTTTGAGATTTCTCAACATCCTATATAGTTTTGGGTTATCTCTTATACTCTCTGTATATGCGGCCGTAGCCATTTGCTTTTGTGTCTTCCATACGTCACTTAAACGTATACTTATGCTTTCTTGAGGAATTATACTTCAGAAGAATTGCTACAACATGGATCGCCTGCCACCGTGCAACAACCCATTAGTACTTCGCACTACAATCGGAACTGAATGAAGGAAAAGCAATTGCAGTTTGATGTCCTCGATAACAGAGAAAAATAGAAAAGTAAGAAAAAGAAAAAAAGAATGAGTTCTTCCAGTGCTCCTCTTAAGCAAATCGAGATTAAAATCTGCCTCTAGGTTAAAGATGATACCTATGCCTGTCGAGTTCTTAAAATAGCAAATTTTAAGTGAAAAGTTATGCGTGTAGCGGGAACTGCCAAAACGTAAGGATTTCGGCACTTCTACTAACTCCGTTATTGTAAAACATGGTTTCGCTCGACATAAATTAACCCACACCCATAATGTGTGACTAGATTCATCTTCTGTTCGGAACCCCTTCACGCAATCAAAGAATTTTTCGCCAAACTTTGAAGATGATATTCCTACGGATACTTTCTCCCAATCTTGTTCATGTATTCGCTTTTAATTTTACCTAGAAGCAATAACTAGAGTAATGTTATTGATTATTGGATTGACAGTTAAGACTTAAGATAATTTGAAAGAAGGATGTAACTATTAATAATAAGATTGCATGTCATATCAAAGAACGGTATAAGGTATGCCTTTACGCCTACATTGATAAAGAGTATAAGGTATATTCTACACGAAATCTGTACAATTTATTTTTTTCAATGAAATAAAAAGAAAAAAAAACAAGCAAAAAACATGAGGGGAGAAGAATAAAGAGTTTAATTTATTAGAAAAATTTATCAAAAGCATGTGTTGTGCATGTGGGCAGGTGTTATCAAAAAAAAAAAAACGTAAAATTGGAGTAGTGTTAGTAGTCGTATAAATCGTTCAAAAAAATTAATTCCATTAATCTTTTCATGGCAGTGAATTTCGCGTTTCTTCTTCCTCTTCTGTTATTCAGCAAATTAACAAACCGAAATTTCGCTGCCATGTGTTAAAAAAAGATTAATGTGAACGGCGAGTTCTTTGCTTGGGCTTTAGTAAAGTTGGGATTAGATTTAGTATTCGATGTTATTATTTATTTATTTTAGTGATTATTTGATTAAAGATTTTTGTTTTTTTTTTTTAATTTTGCGTATTATAGTCCGCCACGTTATAGGTTTATAAGTTTTTCAATTCCATATTTATTTATTTAATTTTACTGTAAACAAATGTTCATAAGTTTATGCGTGAAAATGATGCCAAGTTTTTTGCTGTTAAATTTGTATTGGTGTTTGTTATTTAAATTGGAATTTTTCCAATCAAAATTTTGCATAGATTCCAACTAAAGAGCATTTATGGATTTATTTCGATCATTCTAATATAAAATTATAAGCGAACGAATCGCTTTTTGTGAGAAACGTTACTTTTCCTGTTTGATTAAAAAAAAAAAAGGCGCTGCTAAAAATCACCAATTCATGGCGAAGACTCGGTTGATTGTACGACGCGACTAAAAATATGTAAACACGTGAGCGTTCGACTCCTTAAAAATGGAGATGAAAAAATGCCCAAATACGATAAATAGTAAGCCGATAGAATGTAACGGATGTGTGTATGTAGATTCAAATTTATTTTAGTGGGATTATAAGAAAGAAAATCGTGTGTTAAGTGTTCCGTAATGAAATTGTCGCTGAACAATTTTATCAATGATAAGGAACACATATGAGTTCGAAAAAGAAGCAAAAAACGGTCGCTGTGTACCAAAAATATAATAAGTTGCTTTTCGAGCTCTGGCAGGTATGGGAGAAGAGTTCAAATAAACCTTAAATGCGCATCGCTTCTGTTCAAAGAAAATCAGCTACAAGGATAAGTTGGTCTTTTGAAGAATGGACGATTG